TTCAAGGTATCGATACGAAGTATTCAAATAAACGGCAATTCCTATTGCTTCATTATTAATGTAGTATGAACAAGTGTAAGATTTTCTTGTTAATATAGTAATAAAACGATGATGGCAACTGAATGACGTTGTTAACCAAACCTTTCTTTGTTCTTACGTAACGATCCGTTCCGTAAAACATCATGTGTACATATTATCTCGACTTTTTGTATATTATACTCTCCCTACACGTTCGCGGAAACAGTTGGCTATGTCAATCAACAAATTTGCATAGATTGGAATTCATAGATTCATTCTTTTGCTAAAGATCATTGTTTTACAATGAACAAAACATAATCTATGAACTTATTCGAATGAGAAATCAATGCAATGATCAGTTTCATAGAGGTCACTAAAAGCACCGTTCAACCGATGAAGATTGGTTCATTCTTTCATTTTTCGCGCAAAGCGTATTGGATGGATAAGCAGTTCTCTGTCTCGTACAGTTGTCTTTTCTTCTATGAAAATTCAAATTTGTGTTCTTTTATCCGTAAACATATTTCAGATTTAACGGATATTAACGGGGCTTTACTTGTTCTATGTCTATGTTTTTTTTTATAGAGATGTTGAAGTATTTATAACTCTTAGAGATATTGACAAAGGAAAGATGCGTAATTTCATTACAATTGAAGAGAAAGGAGGTGTTCGTGAATTTATCGTCAATGATCTTAGTAATATTGGTTTACGCATCGATACTCACAAACATCGGAATGTAGCTCTCGGTCAAACCTCGCCGCATATCGCTAACAATCCCAAACATCAACATGGAGCTCGCGTATTCAACATCCCACTTCATCAAATGGATACGATCTCCGTCAGAGTCGATGATCTCGAGTTGACAGTACCAATATTTTTACGATGGTGTTTCGATTGTATACGTCGCTCGATAAAACACGAAGGTCTCTTTCGTAAATCAGGTGGATCTCAACGTGTGAAAGAACTTATGGTAAATTTTCGAAGAAGTATATTCACTCAATCTCATCTTTTCCACTGTTTCTAGGCTCGCATTGAAGATGGGTCATTGACGCCCAGTTTATCATCTTCGAACACGGTGTTCGATGTGTGTTCATTGTTTAAAGAATTTCTCCGTCGTCTCACATTTCCATTAATTACTTATCCTTTGCAAGATCTTCTACTTGATTGTTTTTCCATGCGTTCTCTGCCGTCAGATAAAAAAGTCGATATTTATTTTAATATTCTTTTACTTTTACCCGATGAACATTTACATGCACTTATTTATATCCTACGATTTTTACATGAAATTACACTGAATGAACGTGATAACAAAATGAATGCGAAGAATCTAGCCATTTGTGTAGGCCCTGGGATTATGCGTACAGCTGTGGATGGTAAACAAAATATTATGACAGAACAATGTGCAACGAGTGTCAGTGATATTGTCGAAACATTGATCATTAACGCAACTAAACTTGGCTACGTTGCTGAGTCGATCTACGAACGTTCACAAATGCTTTTAGAAATGCGACAGAAGGAAGCAGCACAAAATCCAGATGACAGTTTTGCTGTCGAAAATGGTGTCAAGCATGGCATTGGCGGGGGAAAGATGAATGATCCAGCAAATGCAAAGAAACGACGCAGTGGTTCAGTGAAAGGTACGTCCGAATAATCACCTACCTTTCGAATAAGTGGATCTTCTTTTCAGAGTTTCTTGTTCATATGACCAATCGACTTCGACGTCGATCCGGTTCGAACAATGATAGTCGTGATCAAACGAATGCGTTTTTGGATCAAAGTGGTAAATTATCATCATCTCATACGCGTGAATATCGTCATCATTATCAACACTATCAACAAAATAGTATTCATGGCAATTGTTTATCCTCATCAGCAACATCAGGGCCTACAACAACTAAACGAAAATCGAGTGATGATCCTAATGGTTGCAATTCAAAACGAGGGTAAGTCAAATGGATAGTGCAGGATGTGCAATAAAAGAAAATAACGTTTATTTTCTAGTAAAACAAAGACATCATCGCAAGAGAAAATGTCATTACCAAATTCGAATCGTTTCACGAGTCCGATTACCGCTTTTCGACGTAAGAAGAAAACGCCGAGTCATACGAATGATCCTGGTAATTTTCCTCGGAAATATGAAATGACTGTTTTATTTATAACTGCTTCGTAGGATTTCCATTCAAAATAGAACATTCACATCTACCACAATTACTTCATTTTACAGATGAAGTGCCCGTTCGCTTCATGAACACAATTGTCAATCCAACCTCGTCTGTTTCGTCAGGATCGATTTCATCTTTGTCAACCACTACACCGAGTGGTTCGATGACAACACTGACAACTTCAATGATTAGTAATGGCTCAGCCGTACATGGCACTCATCAACCACTATCGATCATTCCACATGAAATGCCACCTCCGCTACTGTCAAATCTTGGATCAAATCCTTGCAACAATAAGTCACTTGACGCGAAAAAGTATGTACTACTCTCAAGTTAGACGAAATATAATCGATTTGCAACTTTTAGACTTAACTTGCTGGATTCATGGAAATGGCCAAAATCAAGTCGAGTTAGTATCACATATTCGTTCAATTTGACATATAAATCGTGTTTTTGTTTTTAGAAAGCTGAACGTAAACCTCTAATTGCTATACATGCACCGATGTTAGCTACATCAACTGTCGATTCGACTTCGTTCACTGAACTTTCACCTTCACCAATAAAAGCAGGAAATGATTCGATGCAAATGTCAACTGAACAAATCGCCGGAACATCTCTACTGATGCATTCGAGTTTCGGTGTTCGCCGTCATTCGGATGATGTTACTAGTGCTTCCTTCACAACGACGACTTTTCGTCCTCGTCGATCAATATCGTCCAGCGGTGGTCAGCAACAGACACGTCATATTAGTTGCAAACTTAACAATTATTCCCATTCATTACCCAATCAACAACAGAATACAAGTGATGATGAACAACAAAGCAAGAATCCCAATCAAGATTCCTTTAGTGACGAAGGCGATGATGACGATGTCGATGATATCGTCGATGAACTGAATTTAGCTGTTGTGGTCGGTAATGAAGATGCACATTCATTGAAAGGCTTTACTGCAGAACCAATAGCGAATGAAAACGATCCACTTGATGTTGCATTTATTGATGAAGCTGACTTAGAAAGAAATCTAAGTAACAATAAACTCATCCCTGACAATCAGCAAAGCACATCAACAGCCACGACGACAACAACAACAACAACAACAACAACAGATGTTCAAGTATCTAATCCTCCACAAAACGAAAATGACACTCTTTCACAAACTATGACAGTTGATCATCATTCAATGGAAGTAAAAGATAATAATCAACAGCCCATAACGTCGACGACATCGGTTTTGACCGAGAAAACATTGAACAAAGATGATGATCTCGATGAAATTTTACGACGTAATGAAAATCGCGGTGTTCGATTAACGGATTCAGATGTAAGAAACAATCCAGCTGAAGAATATTTCATCTCACTGAAATTGTTGTTCTCTTTAGGATGAAGAGTATGAAAATTTTGATATGAAAACCATACCAACAAAAACAGGTGAGAAAACACGATGGATCGATTTTCTTCCAATCTCTTCTTTCTTTTCTTCGAAAAAGATGATGCAAAATCAACAACACCAAAAATGCCAGTTCGTCTTTCTTCTTCTATTTCCAATCTCATCTCGACGTCTTCTCTAACCGCTCTTCCATCATCCATCTCCAAAGAACGCTCGTTATCATGTTCATTGTCTCAACCATCCAATGAACTGTTTCATACTTCAGTAACAAAATGGACATCATTAAATCTTGGAGAGAATGTTGAGGTAAACAAATATACTTAATTCATTTCGTGTAGATAATTGATTTTTTGATGTTATGAAAAAAAAACCACCAATAATACATTTCTGTGCTTTTTGTTTAATCTATATTTAATAAAAAAAATCTATGTGTCAATAAAAAGTTTGTAAGAAGATAATGTATTATCCTTGTCGTTTGTTTAGAACATCAGTGTACTCAATAGTGGCCGAGAAAGCGTTCTCGAACTGAAATATGAATTGAATGGCCGTGTACAACAGCAAGTACGTGCTTTTGAATCGCAATCATCGGAAACTATTCATAATCGATCGATCGCACCTCGGCTATCAGAAATAACATCACAAGTAAACCAACCTGATGTCAAAAATATCTTCACGAGTTCATCGGTACATACGCCTGAACAACGTATTATTGAAGAAGCTTTAACTCGTGGAGATAAAGTTGTGTTACCAAATGCTGGACTCGGTGAGCAAACACGTTCAGTGAAACGCTTGCAAAACACTCCAATGCGACGATGGAAAGAACGAGCAAAGGAATATGAAAAACGTCATCAAGTCACATCACCATATCGATTGATAAATAAGAGAAAGAAATAGAAAATACACATCCGAGTCGCGATCTTTCGTTTGTTTGTTTATTGTACATGTCTTCTTATACATAGATTTCATATAGAAATTGATTTTCTATACTCTTATGCATAAAATCAATCTTTTTTCTTTTGCATTGTTGATATTTCCTTTTGAATCTATGATTATTAATAAATATCACAATGTCATCAAACTAGAGTCGATGAAACATCTCTCGAGGGATTCATATGTGGTCACATGTTTCACGATTGATATACAAAAAGAAAAAGAATTGAATTCGTCATGCATGATGTTTATTTTATTTGTTATAGACAGTTGTAGATAATTCGTTTGTTGTGTTTTTATTTTGGAACAAGAAAAGATAATAGAAGAAATAGAATCATATTGTATTTTCTTTCTTGGCGAACGTTGATATATATTCACAAAATTCAGATGGTAATGGAGGAGGAAAAAAAGCGGAGTGAGACTGTACATGATAATAGGATTCGTTTGATCTTGGCTAGACTATGTCTATGAATGAAATTCTCTCATTTTATTTTATTTTGCTTTGGTTACATTATGATTTCATCATCACTTCCCAAACGTTTTTGATTATCTTGTTTCAATAACTTGATATATTTGCTCTTGTCTTGAAAGTTATTTGCATGAATTTCTTTCGCTATGGCTAATTTACTTTTGTTTTCATGTATGGCTAATGGAGTTTGATCCGCATACGGGGCAGTTTTTGTTCCATGTAATACTAACGACCATTCGAAGAAGTCACCGGTAGTTAATTTCTCGCTCTGTGCTTTGTCAGAAATCGTTTGATTTTGTTGATTGGTCAATGGTGCATTCGAGTTATCTTCGTTATCGAAACGAATTTCAAGTGTCCATGTACCTTGAGCTTTTTCTGCCCATGCGTGAGTGGTCATAAATGGCCATTTGAAGAAACCTTTAGTCGAGTCAGCATCCAATGGACGACGACTCAAGATTAATGATCTAAACATGACACGTAGTGATTTAGCTCGTAAAAAAGAAACAATCGTTATCGAATGTACCTTGTACCGAGCGGTGATGTAATGAATATAACCGTGTTACCACGACGACTACCTTTTAATGTAACAAACGCTTGGACATGTTCAAGGTAGTTTACTTCGTCTTTCGTATTTTTACAAGCATCTGTATTGATTGTTAATTTCAATGTACCCTTTTCAGGTATTGGTCTATGAATCATCAGAAGAGAAGGTTAACGATCGATGAAGAGATAATTACTTACCGCTTTCCAGTTACGTTACCAGCTGAACAATGATATCGAGTTGGCAATGGTTTCCAATCTTTAGCATGTCGAACCATATCACCGGCTACAAAATCATCTCGAATAAAAATATCATTCAATGCAAAAACAAATAAACAAACCATCAAGTACACCGAAACCAAATAAATGATTGAATTCTAATCCAGCTCCATTGACGTGCCATAAATGTTGCTTCGAAGGATCGAATAGTTGATTACGTTTTGCTGTTAGAACAGTTAGGTGTTGCATATCTCTCCATGTCAGTTGACGACTATAGAGTTAAACGAAGAACGCAATTATGTGGAAAACTCCGTCGTTTTGCAAATGACGTCTTGACTTTACTTTGCTTCAAGTACAAGTGCAAACACACCGGCTGCTTCTGGTGCTGCTGCGGATGTCCCTGAATGTTTCAAAGTGCATTGACCGTACAGATCTGTTGTTGCTACACCTAATTGAAGTGAACAAAAACAGATAGACATGGCTTTGATCTTTTCTTTTTTTCGGCGAAATATTCTATTTTTACTCATTGATTTGCGTTCTTTCTTTCTCATAAAAAAGGTAATTATTTTTATGGCAGAATACGATGTATTTTCCTCTCGAGCACGCAATCGTTTACTATGAAGTTGTACTCAGTAGATTATCGTGGATAAACGAATAATATTATAAGTTGACAAATCTCATTAGAACAGTATTAATCTACTAAAGAAATAGTAAGAATATCGTAGTTTTACCTGCTTGAGGATCTTCACTTCGACCATTGCTGAACGTTGATGCTAAAGTTGATGAACACGATTCATCGTAAAGTGCTGTTCGACCATCGTTTATTGCTGAATTGATTGAAATAGTCCACATCGACGCAGCATAACCATCACAATTGCAATCGTCATTGGCACCACCATCACCACTAGCCCATACATAGATTGAACCTAAAGGAGGGAAAGGTGATTAGCACAGACTATCAACAACTAGACAATTGTCAATTATACCAAGGCCATGTCGACCCTAGAAATAGAAGCAAAGATTTCCGATATGTAGATGTTCCTAGAGATAATTTATTCAAAGTAGTGACATACTTCATTGATGCCTTTAACAATAGCTCTCATTGTTGCATGTCGCGGCCCATCAACTGTTTTGCCGTCATCAACTGGTCCTAAAATAGATCGTTAACTAACCGAACCTTTTCAACTATCTCTACGAACCCCACGATGCTGAATAGATATCAATCATGTCAGGCTCATGTGACATCGAATTTGCTTCGATTAAATCTATGAAGAAGAACAACCAAACAAATCATTTAAATTATTCTATCGTGGACTATTTCTCATTACCAGTCATATACGGTTGATCTAACATCCGGATACCTAATAAAAAATCAAATAAAAACAATCAAATATGATTATTCAAATTATCTTTACCAGCCACCATGGAATCATAGGCAACACCTACGCCGCAGATGTTATTATCTCGAGCAGCAGCAATCTCACCAGCACAGCGTGTTCCATGGCTAGAATTTATGACTTAAACAAAACCTAAGCGATCATTTTCCTACCTATTAAACCAATCGTCTGTATAGCGTGGATATGGATAACGATCATTGCTACTGAAATCATAACTAGCCGCTGCATTCTATAATAGAATTCATACTAATAACATGATTTTATATTCAAGTCGATTCACGTACGTAATTATGCATAAGATCCGGATGTGTGTAATCGACACCGTCGTCCATAATAGCTGTTGTTACGTTTTTACCCGTATATCCAAGCGCCCAAGCTTCTTCGACATTGAGATCAAGTCGTGGCTTACCGCCGGCTTGGCCCACATTTTTCTAATCCAAACCAATTTGTTTTTGAATTCATTTCATACAAAGGAATAACTTACTAAATACCATTGGTATTGAAAATAGGGATCCGTCGGAGTTTGATACTCAGGAATGTCTTTTTTCAGTTCATCAGGCGAACGATAACCACGTTTGACACGCGTATGAGGAATTTGATGAATGGCTCGTTTAACCTATAAGATACACTGAATTTGCATATAAAATACACTTTTAAGTATGATTTACAAGTTCGTGTCGTTGGATAAATTGTTCTTGTGCGATATCTCGTCTTTTTCGTGTTTGAGGATGTGATGGCTTGAGATCGACAAAATGATATAAACGTTTGTCATTCAAAACCTAGCAGAGTAATATAAAATAGAGACGTCGTTCTTTCATAAATATCATACCGGTCCACGAGAAACCATTGCGTACCGCTTCGCAATCCGCTTGGCTGCCTCTGGTTCAACATGTTGATGAAATTCGATTAGCCAATCCTTAGTCAAAGCTGGCAAAATTGTGGAATGAACAGTGGAAAAAAGAAATGTTAATAGACACAAATCGTAATAGAAACCCATTGATTGAATTATTTTTCTTTTTGTTACTGTTGAATGTTAATGAAACTTATTGTTGACTTGTTTCGTTGAACTAATTTCGTAACATCATTTCACGGCTTGTTCACTTCCGTTTAGATCTTGATCGAGTTCTTCTTTTCGTAAGAAAGAATCAGGGAAGGAGAAGAAAGAGACGATGTTGAATAGAAACGGAAAAATGATGACGGTGTTCTGAAAAGAAAAACAATAGCTCAAATGTCGATTGATAGCTATGAGCAAAGCCGAGAACCTAAGGCGAATAATTTTTTCCTTTGTCTTTTTCCTCGCTCCCTCTCTTTCTCTCTCTCTTTCTCTCGATTTTCTTCATTTCTTTTTGTGTTGTGTTATTATCGTCATCGTTCATTCGCTCTTTCATTTCCAATGTAAGAGTGGAATGAAAAACAAGTCGAGAAACGTCTATAACAACATCGTCATCTTGTGCACCCGAACAACTTTAAAGATCTCACACAGAGGGGAGAAATAAGAATAGGATGGTATATATGTGAGCGTTCTAACAAAAAAGGACGAGGCACAGACGAGAAAAAAAAAGAGATTTGTTTGTCGCGCTTCTTATTTGCCGGAAATAACAACAAATGTTGAAAATACCAAAATATCTACGCACACTCATTCTTTTCCTCAATCATGTCAACGATTTTCCTCGATAATCACCGCCGAAAAATATCCGTGTAAATCGTCTCTTTCAGAGAACCGATCTCAGTAATTGTGATGTGACATCAAACGAGACTTTTGCTGAGCTTGATGAAACAAGACTGCTAATCAAGCATAGTAGGCATAAAATCAAAGAAATGTCAGGAATTACTCGTGCTACCTTCCATCATTAATTTACCACTTGGCGTGCTTGTCAACTGAAGAAGAAAAAGCGAATGAAAAGATGTGAATCGTCTTCTATATTGAGAAAATATTCAAGAAAAGGAGACCAAGTCACTCAAGGATATTTTCTCATTTGGTTTATCAATGAAAACCTAGGAGAGCAGAAATACGCATCCTTCCTCGGAACTTTTTTCTGTTCATCAGAAGACATCTAATGGTAAATGCGGAAAAGACATGTTTATGCCATAAATAAAATCATGTCTATATGCGCTTGTTTCATCGACGGAGCACAAAAGCAGTTGACTTGTTTTTCCTCCAACTATCATGATTGATTCATTATACTCTTTTCTAAAATGATCCTTCGAACTCAAAAAACGTCGAGTTCAAGATGGCAACCATGGCCGCTCAGCTATCACAAGTTTAAATTACATAAAAGAAGTTCTACTTCGCAGAAGAAAAATTCTTTCATCATTAATTATTTATTCTAATGAAACTCTTGACTAGTCACAGTTCTCTTTGTCAGTCGGCAAGAAAATATCGTTCATTTTTAGTTCCCTAGTCAATAACAAAGAGCTTGTCGGAGGTCAATTCGTACGACGCATGATATTTTCTTTGAAAAGAGCTGAACGAGGAGACTGTTTTGACGTGTAAAAGCATTCGAATGTTTCATCTCGAGAAGAGAAGTAAGTCATTAAACTGAAGTAGAATTTTTCCTCGGAACCAGTCTCTTGAAGATATTGTCACATATATTTTTAATAGGAAGTCTTTGTCGAAGAAGAGACATTTTTTCGCATAGCAAAAATAAAAGGCAGACAAAAGTTCTCCTGGATGTTTTTCTCTCACTGTCGCATTGAAATTTCATCGAAGTTCAACTGTGCAAAAACAAAGATATGATATATCCGGCCTGCGAAAAATTCAGTGAATAGCATCAAATTTCATCATCGCCATCGCACGAACGAGTCTTTCATCCAGGCGATCATTTCGACTTGTTTTTTCCGTGTCATATGACAAGTCTTTTTTTCTTCATCAGATGAGATTACATCTCACACCAAGTCTAATCCCATATCCATAAGAATGAAGAAGAAAGGGTTTTGGCCGATCTAATCAGATATGATTAAATATGAGGAGAAGCAAAGTGCACAATGCTTCGGACTATTTTGATAATGCGACAAGATCGATTGAGTGTGACACCAATGTTCAATATTCACTAAACAATAGCCGATCTTTTGTCCAGGCCATTCGATTTGAAACGTTCCACGGTGTATCAAGCAGAGATGATTGATGAGCGGCACGTATTCGAAACAGAAAGAGAACGAATAGCACTGTGCCACATTCCTAGTTTTATGCTACGATCAACCTCGATTGAGTTCCCATTCAATTCTTATTTGTCTAGTCAGACAACGCCCTTCGAAGGCATTCGTGTTCAATTTGGTGACTATCATGCCATGTTTCTTGTTATACGGCCGAATAAATTATTCGATTCGATCGTGACTAGCACGTACTAGGCTTTACAAGGGATATTTGTCTTTTGTTACCAAATGATTAATATCGGCTAGAAACTCGACGGAAACGATTTATTTTTTTTTTATGAAAAAGAATTTTAGTTAGTAGAATACAATCGATTTTTCATCATCGAACAAAAGGAGGAATATTTCTTATTTCTTTATTCAATGTAGACAAAAAAACATTGCACTCATTATTCAGTTGCCTTTGAAATCTATTGGTCTATTTCGTTTTTCTAGACAAGCTAAGCAGTTCATTCCTTGTTTTCTAATGAATTCATCACCACAACATTCAGGCATTCCAGTTATTCTCATCACTGGCTTCGGACCATTTCGTTCGGTACACAAAAATCCAAGTTGGGAAGTTGCTCAAGCACTGAAAACATACGTGCAATGGACACGTCCATTGCATATCATTACACATCAGTTACAAGTCACTTATGATGATGTATCAAAGAAAATTCCTGATTATTGGATCAATTACAATCCCACAGTAAGCAGATTCTGTTTCACTCGGCGATTAATTCCTTGTATTTCGACAGCTAGTTGTACACATCGGTGTAGCGACAGGATCAAAAGAAGTCCGAATGGAAAAATATGCTTGCAACACGGATTATTTCCACACTGACAACAACGGTTCGGCACCGGAAACAGGACAATGCATTAAGAACGATGCACCGAAAGTTCTTTTGGCACAACTTCCATTGAGCGATATCTGTTCTCGAGTACGGCGTCAAACACCTTTGCCCATTGTCGTTTCCGACAATGCGGGAAGGTGAAGATCATAGTGGACAAAACCAAGATTTTCACTTGTTTCTACTTTAGATATTTATGCGAATATATTTATTATCAATCATTGTTCATCGACTCTAAACGAACCATTTTTATTCATATACCTGATTTCGATCAGAACTTCACTATTGAAAATCTTGCTCATACAATTCAGACAATCATCTATGAAGCACTTCGATACGTTCCACCGCTGCCAGTAGTAAACCAACCCAGAAACTATTTGTTTCAAACAAAGATTATCACTAACAACTTCGAAAAACTTAATATAAATAAACTATCATAGATTGTTAACTACTCCATGTGGAGTCACATATTACACAGGCGTATAAGACAATGGAAATAACTAAAACAAAAATCGACTCATTAACGTATTAAGACGATCACCGAGCGGTTTTCCTGAGCATATAAATGCCAAATTTTGATATTGTTACATTTCTTCAATCGACGTATCAATCCATCGAACGAACCTTTATCTGAATCTTTTCACTAATGTGACAAACGCCAAGATTTCAAAATGGACCCGTTGGCAATTTGAAGCAATAGTAAATAGATCCGAGTTGTATTGTACATGCCGTCCAATGACATCACTCATGTTACTACTGCGAAATACTGTAGATTCATACTTAGTCAACTACAGTATAAAACAATAGTAAGAATAAGGAGCCCGATGTTTGATATTCATTCAAACGCTTCCTACACCGTAGCTTACCGTTGTTGGTTAATGCCTAGGAGCTTCCTCTATGTACTACGACCTCAATCATCACAATTTTCACATAATTCCAGTGACAATTGAGGCAATAGTATGCAGAGAATACTCTTTCCTTAAACTTCATCAACAAAACAATCAAAGTGAATTCTACTGAGCTTCCCATCAGTTCCCCGTGAGTGTCGCAAGTATCATTTAACACTTCAATTTCGTCTCCACTAAATCACGCACCGAGTATTAGCATGAAAAACACCCGTCATCGTACTCTAGACTCCACATCATCCCAGCCTCTCAAAAATTCCACTGCAACAACGGTTCAGAAATCAATCAGTTCGCCTATCTCTTCCCTGTTCTACATCTCTTCAGCATGGGATCGATATTCATCGTCCATTTTCTATCAAAAAGTGTCCTCATCACAATCACTACTAAGCATTAAGCAAAACTACTCTCACTAATGAGAGTCTCAATAATCATTTTTCTGACTCCGTCAATCTCATTATTGCTTCACATTACACTGGAACTACACGTCCTACACATTCAATATCATTGTCAGCTGTATCTGACACGTGAACCGTCCGCCGCATATTTCCGCAAGCATGGTAAATTTAACACACGTTTTTCCATTCGACTGACCAACTAGTCGTCTACAGAGAACACTATTGGGTGAATTCACGGTGAAACTAGTTGTTTTCTGCTATACCCACTGAAACAGTTTAAAATTACCAAGATTTATCCAAATTTTGCAAAATGGATATCTTTGAAGAAAAACCAATTATTCTTCAACAAAATACTCTAATGTTCAATGTGTAATGCCATCTCTGTTCCAATTTCTAAACAACATCGTTCACTGCACAACAATACTTTTTTCTCATCAAATCATCTAATAGTTCTTTGTGCACAAGCACTAACCAGAAGACGATTGATCTCTTTATTTATTTTACACTTATCAATAAATGAAAAATTCTAACGGAAATGTTTCATTCTGCCAAGATTTTCCATCATGCTATCCGGAATCATGTGAAGCTTCTTCTAAGCTCAATCACCGAAACACGGAAATGCACGTAGAAATTCTTTGATGGCGATCTATCGCCTACCCGAACCATAGATCAAATTCACTTCTAAATTTTGAGATCGATCTAAAGGCATTAAGATTCGGTTTAATTTGAAACATAGGATCAGATGGATATCATACCTTTGACCCTAATCTTTACCGAGATAAACCATATCGACTGGGAACAGGAAAACTCGTCTAGCACGTGTATTTAATACCAGAAATTGACTCTTCCATTCTGTTTCAATGATGATGCCCGCAGTATTGACGAGAGCGATGGGGTCATTCGAAAATGTATAATAAGAAAACACATACAATAATATATTCTATATCTTTCCACATATATTTATATATATATATGCATGTATGTATGTATAAACGAACGTATAGGCGAGCAGAAGGCTTCACCGCACGAGCGGTCGTCGGATAGAAAGAATAGAGAGAAAAAAAAGAAAGAAGAAGGAAAAAACGATGCTGTTTGCATAGGCCGCGATGATTTGATCATCTTGTAGTTGATGGTGATGTTGGTATTGGTGGTAGCAGACGGCGACGAATTGTTAGAACAGAGAATAGGAAAAAAGGGTGAAAACAGAAAGAAAAAGAAGAAGAATACGGTGAATCATCGGGCGATTCTCTCGCCGACGAAAAGCATCAATAGCAACGATACATTAGACTTGTAGTATTGCTCAAGAGAAAGAACGAAGAAAAGCAAACATGTTCGCCCCGTCACATCGGACGCTATCATGCTCACGACGAAGGAGAAAAGAAGAGGGTTGTCAAGAGGCACACAAAAAAAGGAAGAGAAACGATCTCTGTTCTGTCGTATTTCGCGTAACCTCTATCGTTTCGAGTTTGGATAAACATTGGAGATAATTGAATAAGGAATATTAAAAGACAAATTGCCCTTGAAAAAGAAAACTGCGAAAGAACAACTCAAAATAGAGTTTAATAAGTTTTTCTTTGTTAATAACCAGAATACTGTTGATTGGCGATCGCAAAAACCAATTGAAATTGTTGACATGTTTCGATTCGTTCTTTGCGTAAACCTATCATAAATGTATGTAGCTGTTTGACTTTATTTCTATATTGTTTGTTCCTATCCTCTCATATAGATGTTTATCAGATTATCTCATGAATAGAAATCTATTGGAGAAATCAAACATTTCCGTTTGTCCTGGAAAGTATTGTGGTTATCAAATTAATAGTACAAAATGTGGGGTGAGATATGAGAGATTTGCAAGTTGTTCTTGCATGTACATATTCGATTGAATTTTACAGGCGTGTCAGCGTGGATATCGTGTAAACAACGAAGGTGTATGTCAATTATGTGATGAAGCATTGTCGTTGTACGATTTTATGTACATTGTATTTATGGCGTTGTTGGCGTTGAGTTTTCATTGGTATTTTATTAATCGATTACAAAAGAAAAAACAACGAGAATTCACTTTAGTCAAGTATGTTTTCAATTGTGATGGATAGACGAAGATGCAATTGTTTTCATTTAGACAAACGATTCTTTATTTTTTGTCGATATTGGAGATTCTCCTGGCGTTTATTTTCACGTTGTTAACATTTCCACCACTTGGTAAATTGACCATGAATGTATGTCAAGTGAAATTACTCAGTGATTTTTATCCCATGTTTCATAATCCAATTGTAAATTATCGAAAAAAGCTACGTTGCTCTTATGAAGTGGTCTATCCATTGTAAGACTGCATTCCTTTTGCATATTGATATTCTAATCTTTTGAAATTTTAGGCAAAGTGCAATTTTTGTTTTATATACATATGCCAGTTTAATCATGTTGTTAATTCGACCATTTTTCCTTTCGATTATTCACCAAAAGTTCATTTCGGCGTCGATTTATAGTGCTCTTCATTTTTATCCATGTCTACTGATCTTACACGCCCTATGCGGTGGACTTATTTGTAAGTGAGATTTGTATTCGAATTTGTTCACAGTATCGTTTTGTCTTCTTTTCAGATGTTTCCTTTCCAATTTTGACCATAATTAGTACTGTACTACTGAATGCCATTCATTTCACTCTGATTGCTAGTGGCGAAAATGAATGGATTCCATTTGTCAGGAAGCTTTGTGGAAATGTTCAGAATTGGATCATCTATCTCGTTCATGTGATCATTCTTCTTTGTGGTCTGATCAGTTTAACACAATTTGAAAACGAATATCACTTGGTCATGTTGCCTACTGTTTTTTTACCAGGTTTACTGTATATTTTATTGTATAAATTCACAGCAACAAGTACAATACGAGTGACAACGAATTGAAATCTCGAAAAAAAATAAATAGACTGTTGTTTGTTGTTGATGTTCACCATGTTTCTTTTTTAGATGGTGACCGATTTGATTAAAATCCCTTGTGTGAGAAATCTAGTTTTTCGTGATCATCTACAAGCGTATCCGGAATCGATCATTAATGTTACGCTACACAATGTTATCGTTACACATAAACAACCTGATGGAAATTACAAAGAACTATGGGTAAGAATCTCTTGTGGGAAAGCTTAATTTTTATGAAGTTGATCATAGATATTTTATACGAACATGGACGCTATTCAACCGAAATTTCCAATGAAAACTGAATTTCGTTCTCAATTACCATTGTCACCCTCGCTTGCTTCTGTCTATACGATAGTTCTTCGCCTGAAAACGTTGGAGACATGTTATTTTGACGTACCGGTTTTAGATGATGCAATAAAACTAGCCGAATCTTTAGATGCGCTTATAGCAAATACAGGTAGGCAGACTTTAATAGCCATGAAAATGCGCACTTGAACAGCAAATTGTTATTTAGATGGACTGACATGTGATGTGACATTTTTATTTCCATTTTGTTTTTCGCGCGATTTTGATGTCATTCAAGATGGTTGGACAGCTTTTTCTGTCGAGTCGGAATATAGTCGATTACAAGCAATAAGTGACGAATGGCGTATCAGTGACGTCAATAAAGACTTTGCGGTATAGTCGACATCGAAAATCTTGTTGAATGTTTTCTTTCTTCTCATTTCAGATATGCGAAACCTATCCAGAACGTTTAGTAGTTCCAAAATCAATCAGTGATGATTATCTTAAACGTTCAGCTGCATTCCGTGCTCATAACCGTTTTCCACTTCTATGTTATCTACACAAATCATCTAAGTCATGTATTATTCGAAGTTCTCAACCGTTAGTTGGTCCGAGTGTTCGTCGATGTAAGGAGGATGAAAGTGTTGTCAATGCAATGCTTACTCAACGAAATAAGAAAGGATGGATACTTGACACACGTCATCCGAATATTATCAAAAGCGCGCAGAGCAAAGGTGGTGGATGTGAACCGGATCAGTATTATGCACTTTGGAGACGTCTGAATTGGAATTTAGAAAAACACAATCTTTTACAGGAATCATTCATGAAACTAATGGATGGTAAAGACGTTTTATTATTCGAAAAGAATTTTTTAATAAGAAATTGACCTTTTTTAAGCATGCATTGATCAGTCGGAAAAAGATCGATGGTTATCAAAGTTGGAAGGTAGCAATTGGCTGCTTCACGTCAAAGAAACGTTAAAAACTGCATGCACGGTCGCACAAACAATAGATTGCGAAGGTACAAATGAACAAGAAATAGATAATGATTTCGAATGAATTTTTCTTTTCCTTTTAGAAACGTCGGTTCTTGTTCATGGTAGCGATGGATGGGATACAACATTACTCGTCACAAGCTTAGCACAAATTTTACTTGATCCTGATTGTCGCACCATAACAGGGTAGAAAGAAGCGATTATCTTTGAGAAAAATCATTTGTTCTTTGTCTGTTCACAGTTTTGAAGCGTTGATTGAACGCGAATGGATTCAAGCTGGTCATCCATTTCGTACACGTTGTACACGATCTGCATTTGGCCGAAGTTCACATGGGTATGAATCACCGATATTCACCTTGTTTCTTGACTGTACTTGGCAAGTATGTCGATACACTTCTCGTGAAATTTCATTATATTTCGTTGGAATATTTCTAAGCTTTTACAACAATTTGCTTGTTCGTTTGAATTCAATGACACATTACTAATCGAGTTATTTGAACATGCATATTCATCAAAATTCGGTAAAACTACAATCGAGAGACAGTTTCTTCTCTATTCTAACTTTGCCTTTCTCCTTCAGGCACGTTTATTTTCAATAATGAAAAAGAGAAGAAGAAATACAACGGAATCAAACAAACAGTATCACTTTGGTCTTATTTTAATCGACCTGAGATTCTTCATACATTCTTGAATCCATTCTATGAACCAAATCCAAATGTCTTGTGGCCGAGTGTTGCCGCGCCGAGTATTGTATGTAGATTTCCTACGTAAACTAGTTCTCAATATCGATCTTCAGGTTCTATGGCGTAGTTTATATCTACGTTTTTATGAGAATCAAACTCCGCAGCGTGAAGCTTGGGATGAATATTTATTAATCAAAGAAAAAGAAATGCAACTTCGTTCGTATGTCAATAAACTTCGACAGTATGTATACCGAAATTCAATAGCCTTCTGTAAACTTCGCTTGTTTCTTTTTCGTTTGCAGAGAATTACTCGAATTGGAACGGAAATGTACAGAAAAAGCCAGCAATACAACAAGTATAATCAAAACAGAAAAAGATCCGGTAACAATATAGAATGATTGAAGAGAATATCTATTGCATTTACTTCCCTTTCTATTCGCTAACAAATTTTTTTGATTTGATTATGTTTTCTTTGTCTTCGTATATATACATTTATGATCAAATAGTCGTCGACCTTGTTCAAATGATTTTCTTCTGTGTTTTTTTTTGTATATTTGCATTCCATAATTATTATCGAGAACAAATATATATCGATGTCAAAATCTCTCAAAGATTGTCTATACTTTTATGCAAAAGACGCGAACGAAATGTCCTTCTTGACTTTATAATCCTCAAGTATATATGGATGTACATTCAGATCCTTTTACAAGTCGTCGTCAGAAAAAAAAAGAACGACAGAAAAGAACTAGTCGCGCTGTTGGATACTTTTTATTGATGTCTGTTCAATTGACATAGTAGTTCATCATTTCATACTCTTTTTTTATGATGTAATGGGGCGGATAATTGTACAACTCACGACAGAATCACGTTCTTAGGCAAGTTATGTACGACGATTTATGTCTAAAGAATGAAGACAGACAGAAAAAATTTCCACTTCCAGCCGAAAAAGAGAACGAAAAAGAGCTCGTTTTTTAATACTCATATTACTTCTTCTTCTTCTTCTTCTATTAGTCGACGTTGTGTGAACAACTCATACAAAAAAAAAAGATTAACCAAATCGATTGTATTTTGATCCACATCTGTTTTGTCAAAAAACCCTGGTCATGCCACTTGAACACGCTGAATGGTATTCGAAGCAATCCGCACATGCCAACGATAAATTGCAGGCTCGACAATGCTGCACTTATTACTCAGTAATCAATATGAACAAAAATAATCATCCGTTTTTAAATTCATATGAACAACAGCAAACATGGACATTATCACGAACTATGTCCACTCATAATAAACGATATCAATCGTCGATTGAAAATATTTTTCTGACGACACCAAAGTTATCGCTGAAAGCCAAAACTCTCGAATGTGAAAAGATTAGACCTGAAAAAGATCGTTTAGCTCCGTTTCTATCATCATCTCGTCCGTCGTTTTATAATACAATTAAATCGTATCATCATCAAAATGAAAACTCGATTCCAGTCAAATCGATACTGAACAACAATTCGAAATTGAGGAACAATGTCAGTTTGAGAAGTTCGCCAATGTCTATTCGGCCCATGCGTGTTATTCATATGAATGGTGAATTAATCGTACGAATTTAGGATTTTCTAAACTTTCGTTAAGACTTTGAATGTGACACTTTTATATTTCTTTCTTGAATTCGATCATTCGATTTCTTCACTCTTCTGTCAATATTTTACATGTGCACTATTAACAATAATTTTTCTATCGATTGAAATTATATTTAACGTACTGAATAAAATTGCTTCATGGTTCACATAACATGTTTTAATAAATTCGTCCGCAGAAAGATTATGTAATTTACTTCTCTCCTGACTCAAAAAGCGTAATGTCATTCATTCATCGAATACTTTTACAATGGCGGAAGTAGTGATTATTGACTAATTACTCTTTGAAAGGAGATATGTATTATCTTACAAAGTGACCTCTCTGCTCGAAGCGGATTGGTTGTTCGTAATCCGTAGAGGAATGTCATTGCTATTCTTTCTACAACAGATGATGTGATCAACTACAAACTGATTTCAATAGGATTCATTCATCTGAATGTCATCATCACATTGTCTGGGAAAAACTCGAGATTCTCGACGTGAACGTGTGTCAATACGTCGAGCAACAGTATCGAATATTGTCAATGGAAGTCGAGGTAAACACTATCTCGAAATCTTGTGTCAATTAAAAATCGTTTTTCTTCTTTTTCAGAAACACACAGTTTATTTGATGCTGTAAACGCTCAAGATTATGATCGAGGTAAGCAAACACGACATCAGAATATTCCTCCACTGCGATCTTCCATTTAGTTCTTGATCTTCTTCAAACAGGTGTTGATCCACGTATCGCTGATAAGTATGACCGTACTCCTCTACATATTGCATCTACCAAACTCGATGCTGGCATAGGTAAATATTCGTTTAGAGAAGATGATAACGATGTAGAATAATATCATCTTTAGCAAAAGGGTTGATCGATCATGGTGCGGATGTCAATGTTGAAGATTCACTTGGTAATACTCCATTACATTTGGCTTGTATTAGCGGTCGAGTAGCGATTGTTGGTGTTCTGCTTCGTGCTGGCGCAACTCTATCAGCAACCAAAAGTCGAGCAATGCCATTAACTCTGGCATTGAGTCGTTTACAATCAATGATGAATGAAAAGCGTACAATCTCTTCTCCTGATATGAAAACTGAAATACTCGAAGTAGATCAAATGATGTTCGATATTTCTTTCAATATTCCTTGTGTTTTCGTTTCTAGTTAATACGTCTACTAAAAAATCGCGCGTCGTCATCAAATAACAACAATAATGATGCCATTTCGGATCTTTGTTCTCAATTAGAAAATTTAAACTCCTCCTCATCAAATGATTCTACCCTAGATCCTTCATTATTTTCTAATCTAACAATTTCTATATATAAAAATGCACATTTGTAGATAATAATGCCAGCGAAAAAGCAGACAACTAATGACCAGCAAACACCGTCGAAAACACTGTTTCTCATTCGTCATGGTCAATCGCTTGCCAATCGTGATTATGACGAATCTGTCGCCTATCGAGATGCTGGCTTAACAGACCAAGGCATTGCTCAAGCCAGAGCTTTACAAAAGCAACTCGAAGCTCTACAAATTGATCTTGCTGTGGTCAGTCCGTTAACACGGGCATTGCAAACATGTCAAAATGCACTACCACTGTCATATACCGGACCAATTCTTGTCCTACCTGAAATAACTGAAATTTGCTCCTCGCATTATAGTTGCGGACAGAAACGTAGTGTAGTTCAACCCAAATTTCCAGCCTCGTTCGATTGGACCAATGTTCCGGAAGATGAAATCTGGTGGTGGCAGTATGATAGGAAGCGTTGTGGTGAGAGCAATGCTTACCAATCGGCACGAATGGAAAAATTTCGTCGTTTCATTCAAGAACGACCTGAACAACGCATCGCAGTTTTCTCACACGGTGATTACCTATGGGAACTCTTGGAAGGCAAATGTCCTTATCCAGCTAACTGTCAAGTGACTACGTACAAGATGTGATCGCGTTTTTTTACACAATTGTAGCCAATAAAAGTTTTGCGATTTTATTTTAATATGAGTCATAAACAAGAACTTCTGATCAACAAATTCTTATCTCGATTTGAAGTCTTGTCAAACAAAGAGTTTATCTTGATCAAATTATGTCTATGTAGTCGAGGAAGTAAAGTCATGTTCTGCACTTATTTCTGTATTCGATGTTTTTCAACAAACTGTCGCCGAATGAATCATGATGCATATAACTGATAAGACATTTTCATGCCACCTACAGTAAAATAAAAGCAAGAAAGGTAGAAAGAGTTACTCGGCGAATAGTTATTATTAAGAAATCCTTTTACATCAACTGCGAAATATTCTAAAGAATGGCTTCAACTACACATCGACGGCATCATCATCATCATCGACACAGAAAGGATAGTTCGTCATCTGAAGAAATTGATTCGGTGCAACTCGACTCTATTCCATCAAGAGCAAGTGCGCATCAGTCAGTCGTTATTTCACTTCCACCAACAGAACGAGTATGACAAAAAGAACGAATATACTTTTCTTAGAAAATCATTTTATAATATGTAAGGAGCGTAAAACTGTCGACGAATCGCCTTTACTCAAAATCATCAAGAAAAAACGACGAAAAGAATGGTAAAATATGAATTAGATAATGTAAAAGATTAGCCATTCGAAAATTTTATTTTTAGGGCAAAAGTTGTTGCTCCGGTCGATGAAAATAACATTAAAAAAGTAACCGATTACTGCAAATACTCGCCAATATCTGTGACTATCTATCTATTAACAGACGAAAGAATCTATCACAGCTAAATTCACTAAACTATTTTCAAGTATCCCATCACCAATTCAATTTTTGTTAAACTCCATTGAAAGTAAAAGAAATTGATTTCAAATTGCAATGCATCACCCTTGCTGAATACTTCTAGACCGTCATGGTTTTACCATTCGCTCCTACTTTCAATTTATCGTCTGGTTATTCTACTTGAACATGTTCACATTTCTTCTTTCGTTCTCATGTATCATAATGCCTACTTATATATATCCGAATTCGATTGAATTCTCTTCATATGCAATGGATCAATACTATCAAACTACGGGTAGTTCGAAAGACAATACATCCGACGGCATTTGTACACTATCCGATCCTCGATGTGCACTCTTGAATAAGCCCATTTCTGACAATCATTCTGATATATCGGGAACTTGTATCAACAACACATTCACAGCGGGTAGTTGTTGTTCATCGCTTACCCATGCATATTTTGTGAATACGTCGAGCGATGCTGAAAATGCTTGGACGGAGTTTCTTATTGATCTCATTGATGGAACTGTGAGTACGCTCTGCACTCTTCATGATTTCAATGTTAAGTTGTCTTTTGAAATTCTAGGGAGTTTTATCAATCAATCGATTATTTATCGGTTACTATCAGAACTTAACCAAAACAGCAAAGGATGATTCTTATGTGCAAACATATAACATGGGTTTAGCTGTCTTCCTTACCACCTTTGCTTGTCTTTTGATCACAGGAATTATCATTGTTCGAAAGTAGATAGATCTTCATAGTTGAATACGAATCACAAGATAATCGTTTGATTTTCATTCTTTAGATTTGGTAATGGAATGAGACGAAGTTATGTTCAAAGTGAATCATTTGAAAACAATCTGTTTCAATACATATTTGCTCGATGGGATTACCGGTCTGTGGATGGAATTATTGCACGTCGACACGCAAATCGTTTTCGTACAGAAATACGAAACATTTTCTTTGAGCGAAGTGAGAAAGTCAATTTCAAATTTGATAATGCGAAAGATCAAATTATCTTTCAATTAAAACGCGTGTGTGTATGGCTTGTGACTATAGTTATCTTTGGCGGAGCAGTTGCGATTCTATATTTCACGAATCGATTTACTTTTCAAGTTTGCCATTTTCCCGTTGAATTGTAACAGACGAGAAAAAGTATACTTTTAGAGAAGAGCAGAGAAAGAATCGAAGGGTGGTGAACTTCAATCAGGTCGTTTCGAAGATATGCTTGTAGAATATTTACCTTCGATCGTTGTATCAGTGATTAATTTGACATCGCAATTAATCTTTTATTTTATGAAAGATTTTAAACTCTATACACAAACAACGGCTGTTCGACATTACTTAATCAGGTAAGATTTCCTTCGTGTCATCAAGATCAGAAAATGATTTCTTTTTTTGTTCTCTTTAGAGTCATTATCATGCGATTACTTCTTTTATTTACATTTGTTTTTATTGTCATTTTACAAATAACATGTAATAGTCATCAATGTGGAAGACAATCAGAGCTGATCAGTTGTGCGGAAATTCAAGGCAAAGCGACTTTCATACATGTAATGATCTTAGATCGAATGCTTAATCAGTGCGGTTAGTTTCATTACGAAAATTTTCATTTAGTGCTGGGAAACTCTTATTGGGCAAGTTATTTACCGACTGGTTCTCACTGATACAGCTGTGATGCTAATCATCCATCTTGTCGTCGATCCCATACGACAGTAGACTAGAAAATATTCGCTTTTCACAATTGCACATTCCATACTTATTTAGTCTCATAAGACGTTGCTGTTTTGCGGAAAGGGTTGTCGAAGAAGGTGGAATTACAATGAAAGTTCATGCACCGCCATCGACTTGGTTTCTCTTTCAACCATTGGAATTCGAAGTTGGAGATTATGTTTTAGACTTAACATACACACAAACATTATGTTGGTGAGAAGAAAAATTCTCCGCGTTCGGCAAGATCGATTCGAATTCTTCGTCTTTTAGGCATGGATTACTTTTCTGTCCATTTCTACCGTTGATTGCAGCAGTCAAGAATATCATTATCTTTGCTGTCAAATCGGTGAGTAAAAGAAAGATTTGATCAAATAATTTATGCAATTATTCTCTTCCGGGGTTTTAGCTAAGCTTAGCCGTATTTCGAAGAAGATCTCCATTGGAATTGAGTCCTGCTCGAGCACGATTCATTTTCACAAGTGTACTACTGTTTTCTTTCGTTTGGGCACTATTACCCATCGCATTTCTTTCAACATCGTAGGAATAATCATCCAATTTATCCTTTTAAATCTTCTTTTTGTTTAATATTAGACTTCGACCATCACGTGGCTGTGGTCCATTTCGTTTATACAGTCACGAACCTGATTTTTATATTTACTATTCTGTTCGCAATCTATTTTCCCAAGTGCAAAATCGAATTCTTGTTAAACTTCTATTCAAATTGACAAGTGCAGTTGTGATCGTTCCGTTGGTATTAATATTGATGTAAATATTCTATTCTACTTCTGGAATAAATCACACAAAGACTGAATATCTGCTTTTAGTTTACTCTCCTGCATATTGTTCATTCGACGTAACAGTTATCGAGCAGCATCTGCGGAACTTTATAAACTACTTTATTCGGTAAGTTTGCGATCCAGATGGCGGCATTTGTAGTTTCTAACTAATTTTTATCTTCAGTCTCGCAAAACGCATCAATTGGCTATAAAAAATGCACCAGTGGTGTCAACACATTTTTAAGTACATCATTTACTCAAGAACAGCATTCAATAAATACGTATGTGCAAGAGAGAAATACATGTTTTATTGTAACATTTATATTTCGAAATGAAAGATCAATTGAATGAATATAAAATCTAGTTCAATATCATTTCGTCTACATCGATCGTTTGATATTCGAACAAAAGAGTCATTCTTATCAACGACTATAACTAAAACTATTATTATCAGCCCATCGTCTATACAACGATTAAAGCATAAGTTTAAAACTCAATCTGTCTGATCTAATTCATACGCATATTCAGGTCAATTGGTCATCTTTTCTTAGAAGCAACATATCTTGTGATTTCGTCAAACGAAATACGGTTGAATAAATCGAATCTCTTCTCTCATTCATTTATCTCACCATTCATTTACATTTTTAATGATAGATGTCGATGCAAAATGCAAGGTATTATTTGATTCTCGCTTCACTTCATACGTACGAAGAAAATCGTATCAATTGTAAATATACCCTTCGAAGGTGTGATGACTAAATGAAAGATATCTGTTACATTAGGCATAATAAATAGGTGTTTTTCTTCTTCAATGATGATTATTCTAAAGAATAATACAAAAATATGTCGGAGAAAACAAATACAACAACAAAGATATACAAAAACGTGAAGACTATTCCAAGGTAGTATCCCAACTAATACTTCGTCGTTTAGCTGTTGGACGAAAACGCTTCGTTGCTTTCAATATCGATCGAGAACTTATACTAGTCGTTTCTGTTATATTTACATCAATGGTATCAGTTTGAGTAGTAACAGGTGACGAACATAGAGCAGTTTCTTCATCAGGTGTTAATTGCCAAACCATATTGGCAAATGTACGTTTGCGTGTAGCGAATATATGTTGATTTGAAATTAATTGCTGTAATTGTGGAGAATTAAGGTCAACACCGAATTGATTAGCAATTGTATTGGTTAACAATTGTTTATCAACATTGAATATAGGATTTGTCAGATGATTGGCGAAATAAATCGGCTGATTACGATGGCGCCCGACAGAAATAATTTGCGGCTTCTGTGGTTGATATTGTATAGATTGCATTTGAGCGTCGGTACCATTCGTATCGTTCGTGGGAGGTGAATTAGCAAGCATTTGGCCAGGCATAATATACTGTTGTGGAGTTTCTTTTTCAGTGTTGTTTGTGAGTGTATAATAGACATAACTTTCGGATTGATTTTGTTGCTGCTGTGGTTGTGCTTGTGTTGGTCCTTGTTGTTGTTGTTGTTGCACTTGAGGCTGTGCAAGCGCTTGTTGTTGCTGCTGCGCTTGCTGTTGATCTTCAACATTGATAATCGGGATGTTGTAAAATGATTCTCGTTTCACTTTTGGTTGGATTAAAATAGGTACATTTTCGTAAATATGATCCGTAGGAGGTTTACTGTTTTCGGCGGGTGCACGAAAACTACTACCTCCTACTTTGATCATGGGTAATTGGGGTCCAAGAAGGTCGGTGTTCGAAGTAGGAATATTGGTAGAAAGAAATTGATCAATTTCTTTCTCGAGAGTCACAGGTAAGCCATGTGATGAGAGACCTTCTTCCGTCGAATTCGAATTCGGTACTATTTGATTGCCATTCGTCATTGTATATGCTGTTAAATTATTTAAAGAAATAAAATTACTTTGATTTCTTACTAAAACAGGACGAGGTGGTGCTGATAAAATGACTGGTTGATATGGCTGATGGCTAAGTGAAACAGTTGGAGTATCAATTGACACATCATTCACTTGGGGAGAAACATCCGATGCTGCTTCTACATAAAAGACGAGTTTTTCTCATAGAAATACGATTAGAGTTGGTGAAAACAAAAGAAGATGCGAAAATAGATGATGTTTGGATGCAGATTTGCGGATTTATTAGGTGTTATAAATGAACGAAAACGCTAACACAAGTTGATTTGGAATCTAATGTTTGAATGCAAAAGCGAGGAGAAGTATATTAAACACAAATTTATATTTGTGAAATGAATTCTTTTCTTTTTTTCTTCTTCTAGAGTTATTTACCTTCTTGATCCGAAACTGTATTTGTTGAACTATTCGAAAATGTTCTTCGACCATTTCGTACAGTTGCTTGCTGAGCTGTTTTCTTGCTTAGAGACGAAACGACGCCCGAGCCAATCATGGTCTTCTTATTCTTTTTCAGTAATTGTCGCCGTCGATGGTTAATTAAGCTAAAGTCGGTTTGCGTTTCCGCATCAACTTCAGACTGGGAGGTTATGTCGGGAAACGACGATGATGATGTTGTCGTCGTTGTATCTAATACCGTTTTGGGCTTGTCGACTTTACCAGCTAATGGGCTAGTACTCATCGAACGTGTATCGTGTGAAATTCTCTTTTCTAGTTTTAATGAAGCGATTTCATTACGTAATTCTTTTAATTCACGCATTAATTCTGCTATTTGATCACCTGATAAATTATTGCTAATCGTAGTCATTTTATCATCATCTTCATCGTCACCATTGCGTGACGGTTTCTTTGTATACGATAAGATTTCTTTGGTTGAATTGGTCGTTTGTGAATCGATTGATGATGCTGTATCACTATAGGTTCGATGATTTGTTTGGCCACCTTTAGAATCGTTCGTCGATGATTTACCTGGATCGAATTCTGCACGTGTTACACGGCGAATAGTTGCAGATGATGAAACAGGCGGTGGAGATGATTGATGACGATTTGATGATGAGGATGTTTTTTGAGTCAACGTATTCTGTTCATTGATAATTGAAAGAGATTTCGTTTTCGTTTTGTGATTTGTCAACGTATTATGATCAATACTATGACTTTCATTTCGTGTTAATTTATCAACTGATTTGTATCGAACGGGTTTAGCAACACTGGAAGCACTTACGGATCCCGAGAGGTTGACAAAGAATCGTTGGGCTTGTTGGAGAAATGCTTGGGCTGAATCGGTACCGCGTAAACGAAATACCGACGCTGAGTACGGTTGATTAACATGATGTCGTGATCGATTGATCGTTACGACAACAATAATATTCATATAATAGGGGTCACGCCAAAAGTAGAGTAATTCAGGTGTTTTAAATAGCCATGATTGAGATGGATCAGTGATATTGTCGATGATGAGACCATCATCCGGCAAAGATAGTTTTACTTTTAGACCTATAGCAATAAATATAAAGAAAATCGATTCAATCATTTTCATTGATAAGTTTTATTCTTCTATTCAAACCTTTTGATTTTGTTTTCGATAAAATATTCTCAACAGTTTGTTTTAATGTATGTGTCGTATAATTTTCTAAATCAATTCGATCGAGAAAATAAGCTGACGATTGATTTGATGATAATGATGGTGTTGATGTTGATGTTGGTTGAGCATGTATATTATTATTATTTGAATTCAATCGATGATTGGAGTATGATGATAAACTATGATTTTGAAATGTTGGTGATATACGATGCGCAACATGATGATGGTGATGATGACGATGTATTGTTAATGGTTGTTGCTGTTGTTGTTGTTGTTGTTGTTGCTGCTGTTGCTGTTGCTGTGGTGGTGGTGGTTGTTGTTGCTGATGGAGATGAAGTTGTTGTGGTTGATGCACTTGAATCGGATAATTGTAATGAGTTGTTGGTGTTGGTTGCTGAGGTGGTTGAACGGAACTATAACGAACGCTTGTCGGCATATTCTTTAATGATAGAAATAGAAAGAAGAACGAGTTAGATCAATACATTCGATTGATTATACATGTAATTTTTTTTCATTGATGAGAACAATAAAAAACGAAAAGAAAAAGTAATGAGTATAACATGAATATCACGACGATGGTAGAATATGATTTATGGAGCATCCATGTTTGTTTCTCCCGTTAGAGAACACGGCGAAGAAGAAGAAAAATGAAACAGAGAATAAGAGAGAGAGAGAAAGCCGATAGATAGGTGAGGATCATTGATAGTAGCGACGGTAAACGAGAATGGCTTCTTATTTGTAAAGTGACAACCATCTCTATTCATTCGTTTCGTTTCGTTTGTCTCATGGACACGCTCGAGTGAGTGCTTTAAAGTGTCCCTCGAAAAGACTTTACCAAATGAAATTCAACTTAACCGAGACGACATCCAGTTACATTCAGCGCACAGATTGCATACACATACGCACACATCTATCCTATATGTATCTGTATATTTACGCGTACATTGCATTATACTAGTTGAATTGAATTCATCGAACGCAGAGTAAGAAAAAAGAAAGATGATGAACAGCGAGACCAATAAGCGTATCTTCGATATTCTTTCGTAACCTTCGAATTTATATAAATAACCGTGATAAATACGTAACTTTCTTATTTGTTTATATTCGATTTACTTATTTCCTAGGTAGAAGATACGTTCCAGGTGCTTTTTTCTTGCTTCGATACCCTTCCTATTATGTCAATACATACTGTCAGTTTCGGAATGATGTATTCGATGTCACTCGGTACGTTGTCAAATAGCTCTCGTATGAAATTTATTTGTATTATCAAGGAAACATGTTCTGTCTGAAGAGTGATCAAGGCAATAGCTATCGTATAGATCGACGAATAGATTAGGATAAATTTGCCAGTTTTGTTTTGTGAATGATTGTAAACAACACCTGAAACAACCTTAATCTACAATCAAGCTTTTTCTTCTTCTTCTTTTTTCGTTCTCGCCAACATAAGTATACGTTTATTACTCAATATCATATTGAATCTTTACTTTGGAGGAAATGAAGTATAACGAAAAAACAAATAAACAATGATTTAATTAATAACACTACTCGAAAGCGTGACACTTCTCACCCTTGAGATAACGATAATAATCGGCAAGTTTGGCATTGATTCGCTTGATAATTTCGCATATTCCTCGACCAAAATAAAAGCAAACCTTTACATGCGTTTCCTTGTAACGCTATTTTCGTAACAGATATTACAGACAATAACAAAAGAATAAGCGTAAATATAATTCATTAAATGACGGAGTCGCTGCAACGCAAATTAATTTTAGAATAGAAAATGCACATGCAATCCGATTACTATAAATAGAAGTTCTATATAAATCTGGGTATGAATCCAATATGTGAACGTCTGGAATCTTCTAAGAGCGAGTACGGGGATATCGTCGTGCTGTTCGCGAAAACTGATTGAGCAATAGTTGGTAATTAGATTTGATTCTTCTTTTTTTTTCGTACATCTTCGAATGCACACACAATATGAGGAGAAAAACAACAATGATTAATATCGTCTAGATGATTATTAAAGGATCACAAGACGCACAGAGAGAACGCTTGAAGCAAAAGAAAAACAGAAAAGAAAATTTCACTGTGTCATCATCCTATCGTGTAATCGTTTACAAAAAAATAAATGAAAGTGACACAGAGACGAAGAAGAAAAACGTGACGTAACAAGAACATTTTCGAGACAAAAGAAAAACAATGGAAGAAGATGAAAAGTAATGTTTTGTTATTCGAGATATACTTGTGTATATAACAATAGACTAATGATATTCTTGTTCAAACAAGAAATACATAGACAAACTTTCTTCTCATGAGTTCATTTTAACAAAAGATGACTACGCATCTTTTCATATGTACATTTCAAAACATGTTCATGGTTCGTGTCAATGCGATAGTTCGGTTTTGATTTCCACTATTGAACAATAATAGCTGAATCGGCGAGTGTTTTACTTTTGGATGTCGAACCACAGTATGAGCTCGATGTCGGTCGAGAATGAACTTCATTCGACTCGGTCGTACTTGTCGCGGATAAACATTTCTTTTCCCAGTCTTGTAACTGAAGTATAAAGCTGATATTCGGATCAACTATTGGCCGTAGTTGACGCATTGCAGTAAATGCATCGTCTAATTGCATGCGATCTTTTTTGATCATATAAGCGAGTACTAGTGTCGGACTTCGACTGATTCCAGCAGAGCAATGTACAAGAATATTACTCGATTTATCACGTAAAGCTTTATCTAAATTGATCTTTGTTAGAAATGCATTCAATTGGAAATGAAGTGAAACGAACCAATGAATTGAAAAACGTCTTCGAAATGTTTTCGAATGTTTTGAGACGGCAAGTCCAGAACGTCTACGCGAAGGTATTTATATTTTCCTTCCCATTTACATGGTAAATCGGGTGTGCAATTGATGATATGTGTGATGCGATTTTGATTTAAGCGATCGAGATTTTGTGAATCAAGCATATTTCCTAAAGTAAATACGAGATAAATATTTTTATCAGTTTAACCTTCGAAAGATGTTCTGCGCTATTTGTTGAATGATGTCACGAACAAATCTAATCTTTAAATTCAGTACGCTGAGTTTGATTTGAATTCCATGACAACTTTGTTGACTTTGTCCTTCTTCTCTCAGACTGGTAAGAACTCGAAATGAAAACAAACAATGCATACCCACGAAAATATGAGGCACGATTTGCGTCATAGTGAAGTTTTCTTTATCCAAAGTATCTGGTGTTGATGGAACATGACCATCAGATGTATCTTCCGGCGAATGGTCTGTCCTTTGAATTATTTGTGGATATTGAGATTTGATTGCATCAAAACGACCTGAGAATTCACATTGAAAGATATTTTTCCTGACGGAACCATTAGGTTTTACCTTGAAGGACAAAAACTTTTTTATTGGACTTCTTCGCCGCTTGAATAACGAGATTCAACGGTGATGAACGTATTTTCTCTTCACTTGGCACATCTATTGATTGATCGTAAAGAAGAACACTATCGGCATGTTTTAATGATAGAGCTAAATTGGATTCAATCTCTTCTAAAGGTTTCGACGATAGTTTTCTTGTTAAAAGCTTCGCTCGACAATTGATATTATGTGAGGAAATAATACGTTCAACACCGTAATCAAATTGCGAACGGCAATCGATAATCACCGGTAGAGATTTCCTTTCAAGCGCCGACGAATTCGTCGAAATCAAATCGACGAGTTGTCTCGACGTCAGAAATGTACAATAGTCATTAGAAGAATTTGTTGGATGAACATCGGAGCCCGTGTGTAGCTTGTTCGCGCGTGTTGATGGGTTGATAGCGATGATGGGTTTACTAAAAGTATTCGGATTGGTATGTTCAGCCTTCGAGAGCATATTTAATTTCTTCTCAGCCAAAACATGATCGGTAACAAAAGAAGTCATACCTTGAAAAGAAAGAACATTTCAATTAATGGATTCATATCCAGTGAAAACTGGATCTCTCCTTTTTGACATGTTTGTTTATTTACTTGGAAGTTCTATTACTTACTTTGATAGATAATGAAAGGAAACGTATCGAAATTTTCGTTTTTTCAAGAATATCTCAGAAAAATAGACTTTTTTCATTCGGACTAAAAATAAACCATCCAATTTTCGATAGATGTCATTCGTTCATACAGAAACGACGTAGTGCGAAAACAGTTCGTATATTTACCTGAAAACTATCTGTTGCTAATTGGGATATAGTCTAACTTTTGACGATTAAATACTTCTTTTCTGCTACTCGAATAGAAATTTGAAGGTAAAAATTGAGTCAAATATATACGCAATACCTCGCCCACTTTATTTTTCTCTTTTTCTCTTTTTTCTTTATCTCGCTACGTTCTCTCTTTTTTTTGAATAAATAGCATCGTCTGCGTTACATTGCTCGGTGTGAATACGTAATACAAATTTATCAGAAGTTTAATAATTGCCAGCTGGTGCGTAAGGAAAAAGACGACTCTTTACGAAAGAAATGACGACTATAGGTATTTACCTATGATATTCTCGTTCTAATCAGAAATTTCTATCTCTGACGTTAGCAGAATTGCGACGTAAATCATGTATGAAGTTGCGGCCAAACTAAAAGTCAGCATTTGTACTGTTTTCAGGAATGTCAGGGGCGCCGAACTGAATGATCTGCGTTCGATTCACTTTGATGACAATGTCGAATACCCTGACGAAATCGTATTTTTATTGACTTTTTATCTGAGTAAAACCTCGTCATCACGATCAAGAGAAACTGATGGATTAGTATTGAAATAAAGGGCAAAAAGCCTGTGAGGATCTTTTATTTGTGTCAATATTAACAAGATAAATACCTGATTTTAGACTTTGATAAAACTTGATACTCGGCGATGGGTCGAAGTATGATAGGTTAATGAAAAACAACGAGAGAATATGCCTGATTACGAAACTTTTCCTTTCTTAGAATACTAAAGATATGTATCCATTTATAAAAAGCCAAAACGGGGTAAGAAAAGAAAAGCGAGGGCGCACATAGAAGTGCGGAAAAATTGTTTGACTCATGATATTTTTCTTCTTTCTCCCCTTTTCATACTTTATAATGTAATAATTTACATTTGATTTTGTATTTGAAGACATGCGTCAAACAATCCTCTCTTTCGTTCACGTTCTTTCGAGATGTTACAATGGATGAGTACTTTCACGCACATTCGATACGTCATTATACACTTCTAAAAATCTTCCACTGCCAACGTGAAAATAAAAAACTAACAATTCTTGTACTGAAAACTCATTCTTCTATGTCAGACATTGACCCATGATATATATATATATGAAGGTAGATAAGATTTCTTTCTGTGTAGCCAATGAAAATCTGTATTTATTAATCAGGTGTGCGATTTTTAAAAAAATATTCTGATTGAAATCAAGAGGGTTTTTTATGAGGATATGCTTCGTTGAAGTTGATTGTGCAAGATAACCATGTTGTTGTTGCAATGGATTTTGTTCGCATGACGCCAATAAAGCTCGTTTTCCTTTCTCGTTCGCTAACTGCACACAGGCAAAATCGAGCCATTTGATTGTTGATTTGATTTTTCTTCTTTCTTACCCAATGTCTAGTAACCGAGATCGTTAAGAAAGAAAAACGGAGTGCTTTTGTGTGTAATTTTTTAAATGCATTGCAATGTTTTGTTGCTACTGATGTTGTTGTTATTATTGTTATTGTCCGAACGCACCGTCATTTAACGGAGCAGAAGGGAAAACGACTGATTAGCAAAGATTTGTGATTGAATAAGTTTGCTAATTCGAACAACGAGATCATGGTACCGTCATCAGCTAACGAAGAAAAGGTGACATTTATTTTGTTATTTTCTCGTAATCGTTCGTCATGTGACGTTCCCTATTTAATGGCACAACGAGATAAACATATCTATCCGACATTAATGACAGCAACATTCTATTTTATGCGTGATCTGATTGATTACAGGTAGAGAAGTTTCGATCTTCAAATGACATACATCGTTTACTTTTCTTCTTTTAGAGCCATTTCACTTGACAATTGTGTGTATATTATCGGAGGTCGATATGCGTCGACTGGTCGTCTTTCAAATGCTGTTTTTAAATACGACGCGCATATAGATTTCTGGCGAGGATGTGAGCCGATGAAGTCAGTACGGTACAGTTCTTTTTCTCTGACAGCTCTTCCTTATCTGATTTTTGCGATCATTCTAGCGCTAATTTCGCAGTTACTATATTTGACTCGAAAATTTATGTACTCGGCGGCGAAGGCCCAAAAGGTATTATTGTTCAATCCGTTGAAGTATACGATCCGATTGTAAACAAATGGAAAGAAGCAGGCACATTCGTGAAACCAAAACGCTATCATGCAGCACTTGCAATGCATGGTAAACTCTGGTCCTCCGGCGGCGCAAATTCCTTGATTGAAGCTAAATCAACGGGTGAACTGATGTTAGAAACAGATCCGCGAAAGTTCAATTCTTAAAATAAGTTTCTTTGAATTCATCTAGTCTTGTCGATCCTCAACCAAATGAATGGAAACGATCAATAACAAACCATACGTTACCTGTTGCATGTCAACAACATTGTATGACAGTTATTAATAATAATATTGTACTTTTTGGAGGTAGGTAGCTATAAATATTTCTGATTGTGACGTGTTGTGCTCTATTCAAATTAAAGGCTGTCAAAAAAATGGTGACGAAGCTAACAACATTCACACAATTGCTCGTGCTATTAATCAATCGTCTGAAAGTACACCAGAGTGGGAAGAACTTGATATTCAATTAGAACACCCCCGTACAGATTGTGGTTATTTTCAATTAGGTAAAATAACAACAGAAGAAACACTTTTGTTCGAAGAGAAAAAAAAGCAACTCTCGTCTGTCGTTCTCACCTTTCAGTAAAGAAGTAGCCGAGTGTAACACAACTAGTTTAATGAGGAAATGACATTCAAACGTGGAGGTTTGTCCTTTCTCATCTGCACGTGAGAAAGCAACCATTTTTTCAATTAGATTTAAAGAAATCACAAGCGAGCAGTTGTCATTTATTGATAAAGAATTCCAACTACGCAAATTTTTATCTGAAGTATTACCATCTGTGATAGAATGACATTAGTATTTTAAGATAAGATGAGTCAGATTGGAATTACAAAACACATTACGTTGTAGTTTTTTTCCTCTCATGTGATCAGGCAAAAAAATTTATATACATGTCTCGAAAACGACGTGCAATGAATCTGGAGAGGTATCACACAGATAGCTCGAGTGATGATGCCGTAGCAATTGTTCGGATTCACATGCAAATCGAAAACACTTCAAAAATATATGAGGGAATGTACGTTTATCTATGGTAATCTAGTTATAAATATACAGCTGGCCGAAAAGTCGACCTTCTCGTGCTTTTCCCCTTTACAGGTGTATGCGGAATAGAACTATCGGTTTTCGAGTGCAAAAATCCTATATAGTATTTTCAATAAGTAATTCAAACATGTTTCTGACCAATCAACATATCCGAAAATGATTACGAGATGTGTATTGCGCATATTTTTTTTTGTAACAGGAAGAAGAATTAAATCACGTTCAAAGCGTTCAATGATTTAATTTAATCAAACACGACGTGCCATATGCTGCATTATCATGATTATGAAAACCCTATAGCATCATTTTCTGTCTTTTTTTTTCATACAGGTTCATCATTGTACATCATCGGGGGCTATAACTGTCAAACAGGTGACCCAACGAAAATCGTTGAACGCATTGATTTCAGTGACAGTTCCAACCCAACAATTGACGAACAATTCGAAATCGACAAGGACTTCACCGCTGTGGATTGTTGTGTAGTTCAAACAAATCAGTATAATGAACACCTTTTACCGTTAGCTTCCTACTTAGACCGTTGGATTGTTTGGTAATTTGATTATATTTCTTTTTGAGTTCTCATAACAAATAAATTTCACATGTCAATTACAAAGCAAAGGAAAAAGAAGAAGCAGTATTGCTTTTAGATAATACTGCCTATCAGACAGATAATTGGAATAATGATTACGTATGAAAATTAGGACAAAAAAAGAATTGAATGTATTTTTTTAAATGTGGGAATGGTTTCGATCAATATGCTTTCGCTAATTCCTTGCTGAGCCATTCAGCAGAAATATCTTCACGTAACTCAATAATCTAAAATGATCAAAAAACATTTGTTTTCGTTTGTTCACTATGACGACAACATACACGAGTAATACCAGACGAAGCTGAAACCGCGTTCGCTGTCGATGCATATGTAAAACGATTGTTCGTTCCACATCCATCAGGAATGTATAAAATTAAATTCAATGGATATTGAACACGACCATCCGCATGCTTCAATTCATGGCTATGTAAAATAAAACGAGGTTCACGACTTGGTAATTCCTCAATTAATTGTTCGACATTGATGTCCTACAACACTTTCGATTTGAATTGAAAATCTCGGGAAAAGTCAAACATACTTTTAATTCTTTGTCAATCACAACTTGGTTGGTTTTCATATCACAACGTACTAAGAACAATGATAATTTGATTAAACAAACGCTGTTATTCACTTACATATCATAGCCATGGTTGACTTGTTCGATAAACGTCGAAACTTTTTCATTGCATCGACTACATCTTTTTCAATGGTACACGGTGACATTGAAGTCATGTTTTCTACGTTTTATATCAATCTGAAAACAAAACATAGCTATATGCATGATTACTGTTACAATTTATTCGATCAAATTTGTCGACTGAGGTCAATAACTCGATATACATTATATCAAATAATTCCAATTTTAAAAAAAAGCATTTTTTTATTGTGCTTTCTACTGATCATTACATCCACTGTATGTGATTCCACGGTTCATTATTCAATAACTGATTGATTAGTAATTTTGATCGAAATGTTGTGTAAAACAAATAGGCTCGAAGAGTTTTTGGTAAACAATCAAACTGAGACATCATGATGAGCATATTCACTTGTCGACGTTTACAATAAACTTCAGTGCATTGACGAATTTTCGAACGGCAAAGTTCTTTTAGTTTGTACAATGGTCGCGAACGCGGCTTACGTTCAACAATTCGACGATAATGTACACCGAACAATATGCGTAAGAAATTACTATCATAAACTTCAATGATATCATCAATGTATGGTAATGACATTAAATGTTCGTACAAACTTTGATCAAAAACGAAGTCTTCGTCAGAAACCCACAGTTTCATGTAAGCGACAACACTTGCCATCGATGATAAACGATCGTACGTTTGAATACGTAAGATTGTTTTTGCGTATGAATCAAATAAAGTACGTTTAACTCGGCTACTTGATGCTAAACGAGCACAAAGCGAGATTATGTGGAATAATGTGTAAGAAAAATGATTTCTCGACGAAGAAGGCGTTAAAAAATCAATAGAATTGTGTAAAAGATTAATTGGACATAAATTTGCTAAGCAGTAATATACCATTGGTATATGTTCATTCAATAGAGCATAGTAAAAGGCATAGTGATTGGGTCGAAGAGAAATGTCGATCGAAACATGAGAAAAGAGGTTCTCAATGGTTTTCATTGTCGCATCGTATCTATCCGGATGAAATATCCATGAAGACATTCGTGCAAGAGCTAGAAATGGAGTCATCTGTTGGTCGTAATTAATATATGTACGCGGATGATAATATTGTTCTGGAGATTGATATGATTTGGTTGATTGAAATGGAGATCTGCAACAGCGATCAAGATAGTCTAAAAATTCCGATGAATTTGCTTCGTCTAAAACGGCTAAAATACAGACAAAAATTAAGGAGTTTATCGATAGACATATTCGAGATGTCTTACAGTTTGACACATTTCTGCAATCTCGACTGATCATTATTGTATTTGGATTAAAACCAAAATTAACTAAAGCTTTGACAATATCAAAGAACGATTTCGTACAAGCAACGACAAGTGGTTCGATGATATCAAGTCTGACGTACGATTGAGCATATTCTAAAATGGCTTGAACCAACAGCAGATCACCTGTTTGTACTGCAAGTAAGAACGGATAGTTTGATCCGTAATTATACATGGCATAGATGTTCGAATCACTTTTGATTAAACTTAGTGCATGCTGTTTATGACAGGAGTGTTCCGCGATGATATTACTATCATTACTTTGACACAAACGACGTAAACATATATTTAATGGATGATCAAGTGAGTATAATAAATGACTATTTTGTTTTTGATAAGAGTTTTGTGTTTCATAACGATTCCATCCCAGACGATTAACACTACATTTGTACTTCAATAGCAAACTAGTGTAGTCATAGAGATTATCATGCGCAAGGCTGATACATAATGGATTGAGTCCTAGAATTTAAGAAAAACAGACTTGTTAGGTTCATTTCTCACGAAGGATCAGTCGTACCAAGGTCAATATTACAATCCGGTCTTGTTAAAAGATAATTAACAATTTGAAAACGTTGTTGATTACTAATTGATGAGTCGAAACGATTTTCAATAGCACCTAGAATAGCTCCGTGCAAGCTGGTTTCGTAAGTGCTTGTGAGTTGATTGATATCACAGTGTTTCAATTCAACAAGATATTTTACTAGACGAAAACGATTTTCTCGACAAGCATCTAGAAGAAGAAACGAATTAGGATCAGATTAACTTCAAACATGTGCATTTACGATAGAGAGGATATTGATATCGTTGCTGCTCGTTGTGTTGAGTTTTACAATGTTTACAATTCGATTGAACACAATCATTCGGATTGATATGACCATAATCAGTTAAATATTCGATAATATTAAAATATCCACGTTTGACAGCTAAACATAACGAGACTACTTCAGTATGTTTCCCGATTTGCCCGTAATCATGATAATTAACTAGTGTTTGAACTAAACTGTAGTTATTATTTGACACAGCCATATATAACATACTATCACTAGACAGTATCGATGCGAAAAGACTTGTTTCGACATAGTAATTTTTGATTTCATTGTTATTTTTGATTAGATGCGAGAAAAATGTTTTATGATCGTGAGGTATATAATCAGGCGAAGCACCATGCGATAACAAATTTCGCGTTTTGTACACATCATTTTCGTGTACTGCGACGTACAATTTTTCGTTTAATGTTAAATAGCCAAACAGCGAGGATAAGATGAGATCATGTAGATGCACATAGCAAAAACGATATAATGATTGAATTTGTTCAATAAACCAAGAGAAAAACGACGGAGACGGAGATGTAGTTATCGGATTCACCAATGGATTATATTCCGGCTAGAATGGTTCCATGAAAAGTTGTTATTCATGACGGAAACACTTACTGGTTTCGCCACTCTCATGTATAACCAAAAGTCTCGATTGTCCATATTTCAAATTGATGAAATATTCTACACTTGAAATGGCCTATTTGCTGTTCGTTATTGTCATTTCAACCCAACACGTGCAAATGGTTAGTCTTAAAATAGAGCAAAAGAACACGCGAAATTTCAATAACCAAGTGTTCTCATTTAGCATTGAAACGGCCCATTCTTCCTCTCCTGTCGAGGTGCAATGTTGATGAATAAAAACGTGCCCTTGCAAGCTGATAGAACAGGACATCTATCTCGTGATATTTGTTTCGCGTACTTCTGAGTAGAGTGTAGAAATGAAAAACAAAGCCCTATCTCAATGACAGATACTTTACATTTCTCTCTTTGTTGTCAAGAATGTTTTGCCGTTTTCACATTGTAAAAACAAGATTTTAGAGTTACAGTAAACCTAACGAAAATGCTGTTTACATAATCACATGCTCTGTTCACTATTTGACATGTCAATCTTGATAAATTCAGCTCGGGTATGCGTGCAAAATCAACCGATCGGAACATGAGGAGCTTCTTACCTGTACGAACGATTTTCACAATAGAATTAGTCAAAACATTAAGCGCCGGCTGATTACATTGTTAGTACTACATCCAGAATGTTATTCAACAATCTACAATAGAAAGTTCGTTGAACTTAGCAGTTTTCCAAGTTAGTTATGAGAGCATGTTATACATTTCATGCATTTAAGATGAAGACGATGGTTGTTTTTACTCAATTCTAATTTGTCGTTTTTTTTTCAATCTGAATTAATTTTGTTATTTTATAAATACAGATACGAATGCATAAGAATTCCGAAGAAGACACAAAAAATCAGAATTAACAGAAAAAGAACAGATTTTCCTTGGTAATATCCACATGCGAGACTAAGAAAGAAGAATTCACCAGAGCAAAAGTCGTCCATACATGATTTTCTTCGTTCCAGACATAGACAAACGAGAGAAAAAGAGAGCAAGAGAGTTGAAAGCGATAATGACGAGATCATTTTGAGTCATACATATTAACAAAAAAAAAAACAAAAAGGAAAGACAAAAGGAGTAGATATTTTATTATAAAAAAAACAAGCAGTTCAACAGAAGAAGAATCGACTTGAAGATCAAGATTTTATACTATGCATTTCATTGTTATTATTCGCTATTGATGAATTGTCATCACTCGTTTGAGAACGATATGATGAAGCATTTAATAATCTAAAACAGAACGAAGTTCCTTAGAACGAACGCATGTCTTTATCCATTCGATCGCGTACCTGCTACTATGCAAAGTAATTCGATCTGTATTTGACTGAGTATCCGATAGTAATGTGTTACCATTAGGCCCACCTAGACAAATGCAAGTTAGATTGGACTAAATACTCATGATACGTACCTTTACGGAATACTTTGTGTGAAAGAAATCTGACGAAACGATCACCATAATGACTTGGATTACAAACAGATATTTCTTCCTAAAAGAGACAAATTCATATAAAGTGTTTGCTTCTCGTGGTATATGTTATACGCACTCGTGTTACTAAAGTCGATTTGAAAGCATGTTCTAATTTTTTACGTAGTCGATAATTTTGAAGGATATCGATGATACCAACGTATAACAAGAGTAAATCACCATTTTTATTAACAGCTGGAATGCCAGCCCTAGACGAAAAGGAGAAAAATGCTGAATGACGTATTTTCTTCAAGGAAAAACTGATTAGTTCTCCGCCTTTTAGACTCAATTCGATGCATTATGTATTCTTCAAGCGTCATTTCAATCGAGCGCGGGTATATGAGTACATATTATCTCACCATTTATTCATCGGTATACTCCTACATGAAAAGAGAAAGAAAATTGATTACATACATAGCAAGACGTGAAAGGTTTTGTCGATTGTACCAAAGATCACCGCCAATTAAAGTATTAGTAACATGATGCGGCGATGCATCATGAATATTTGTTGGACTTTTACTATTTCGACGAAGAACTGGTTGATGATCATGAGCTGTAGATACATTCGTGTTTAACAATGGCGAAGCATCTGGTTTGACTGTTTTTATACTTGCTGCATCGAGATTATCAATTGCAGAGTTCTCCACATTGGAAACCGATGATGTTCTTACTGAAGGTTCTTGTTGATTGCGTATGAATTCGATAACACGTATGTATTGAATATATGTAGGTAGATTCGGTACTGTCGTTACTGTAATACCAGAATCTGTTGACGTTGTTGTTCGTAATTCTTCATGAATACTTAATGCTGAATTAACAGTAATGTCGGATCCTGAAGGCGTTCGTTTGCATGGAGTTGGAGATACTATAGATAGCGGTGGTGGTGGCGGTGGCGGCGGTAAAAGAGATAAATTCTGCGTTGATTTCATTTCTTCAGTGATATTGTGAACAGCAAGTAGAAGAGAATAATCCATGATATCAAAACTACCAAGAACCTGACATGTGAGGAAAGAATTTTTAATGAGAAGAATGAAATTGCAGATAATCACATACTCGAACATCGTCTTCAATCGTTTGCATTAATTGATCGTGAAAGAACGGTTCTACTATTAAACCATATGGATGCAATGATTTAAAATCATTATCTTTCAGCGTGGGCAGATCACGTTTGCGTTCTTCTTCTGAAGCTTTACGTTTATAAATTGATCCTTTTAGATCATATTTTTCATGCAATTGGACATTGGTTGGAATTAGATTGTTCATTATGACAAAACGTATATTCTTATTGGCACTTTGATAACAGTAGAGACCGAAAAATTTCGGTAATAATGTGAAGGGATTTTGAGTCAGATTCATATAATATCCGGGCAAAAGACTGAGTAAGAAACGAGCTTCTTTCTTTGAGACTGTTTTTATAATGTACGTGTCATCAGCTGTGATGTAGAATATTGAACCACTCGCACCTGGATTGGGTAAATCACGTAAATCTTTAGCACATAAAGACAGCTAGAAGAAAAGAAAAAGGAAATGTAAATGAGAATCTCAACGGGAGAAAATAGATTTTGTCCAGCCGAATCCTATCAATTTACTCTGAGAGCTAGTCGTATTAATAGGCATTTTCGTCAAATAACAACAACAGCAACAACAACACATCCATAAGTGGATAGCAAATATTTTCCAGACAGTCGAATGCGATACTCATAGATGGATAAGATATTCTGCATGTGTTTAAACAGCAGATACCAAGTATTAAAACACTGAGTTAAGCGTTGACAGACTTGAGTAAGTCATGTCGACATTTGATTACCGATATTGATTCAAGCTTTTTTTATTCAACCGGATCGTATGATTGTCGTCCTCGTATGTCGTAAAGAATTCTTCTCGAGTCGAGTTTTGTTCTTTGAAAACGATCTTTTCAAGGCTTAGATTCTTTAGTAACAATTATCATGATTTTCAACATGAGCTTAAAAACTACAGGAAATGAAGAGAAACTGATTAGAAAAGAGTTATCATGAAATAGAATTTCATCAAGCAAGAAAAGAAAAGAGAAATCTAGTTAATGCCATATTGATTTTAGCATCGTTCCTCCTAAAACTGTTCTATATAGTGACGTCATTGATTATCTTATCTGTATTGATAAAAGTCTAGAATTGCTCGACGTCAGCTCTCTCTCTTTGTTGACTTTGAATCAAGACGTAAGACGATACTATTTGTTTTTGGTTTATTTGAATAAATAAATATCTGAAGCGGGAAGAATTCTCGACTGCATTCCGACATCTATCCACTAGAAGCACTCATGCGTTATTTCAGATGATTTCAAAGTTTCAACAACAGAAAAGAGATAATGATCAGATCTTATTAAATCTAAATATTCATGTTCCTGTCGGTGGGAAATAGCTGATAATCTTATTCAATCATTTCGTGTTGTCTGCATATTAAATATGAGAGTTTCCTTCTCTTAGTCGAGTATACACGTACCATAAACGAGGAGGGATCAACACCGAATGCATTACGAAAAAAACGAAACGCCGTTTGAGCATAGGTTTTCAGTCGAAATTCTGCATATGGATGCATCGGTGTTGCTTTTGAACCTTCTCTGAAAAGAAACAAAATTAATTCAGAATCGTTGACGAAAGCAACTATTGAAAAAGAATTTACGGAGGAAAATCTTGATATTCTATCTGTTGGAAATCTTGTAAGAGTACTTGTCGTTGAGGCTGATGATGTTTACCAAGAACATAATTAAGACCAATCTGTAGGGATTTCATTAAATCATCCACCATCACACGTTTGTAAGTTACATTTCCTGTTTCATCAACACGACGATGTCCCAGCTTCTCTTTGTTTCCTGCACTTGATGGTTCCGTATCACTTTCGGATACCTATTTTTGTATGAAAAAAAAGGAAAATTAAGAACTTGACGCTTTTTTTCTCGATTGAAATGTGAAGCAATGGATACTCACGGTTGTTTGGTTCATATTCGGTGTCGTTTGTTGATTGATATCAAGACATTGTTCACTTGTGGTATGTATGAGAATTTGTGGTGGTGATGATGGACATTCATCAGTTGATTGTGGAGATATTTCATTTTCTGGAATGTTCGACGAAGGCGTTAGAGTGGAATGTGGCGATGAAGAAAAAAGAAAGTCTGTTATTGAACCAACGTTGGCTGAAACGCATGACACTGTGGCTGGAGATGTTCGTCCGTTCTGATGAGGAAATAAACCGGTTGTTCGTTGTTCAGTAGCCGTCATGTAAAAGACAAACAAAGTTATGATCTAAAACAGCGGATCAATATTCACTTTCTCGCCTCTGCAGTTTTCTGCCGCAAGAGAAAAATCTCGTTGACGCACACACATGAAGATTATTCATCTAATCGGTTTGTTTTTCTTCTCTCATCTAGTTGAGAAGCGGAAAGAAACTTGTCGGAAATAGAGAAAGATTGTGTTTTTCTTTTCTCTTTATGCTCCTATCTAGTCGTCTTTTTCCTCGCTCTCTCTCTCTCTTCCCTCCTGCGCTGCTTCTTCATCTTCTAGTTCTCTAATATGCAGCAAGTCAAGAGAAGAAAAAGAAGTTGAGCTTGGTCAACATGCCCATTGTAAGTATATATATATAATCTATATACAATCAAATCGAATGTGAACGCGTAAGCATGCACGAATGAATACTACATTCCGTTTCTCCTCCCCGTCTTCCTCTTTTCTAATGCTACGCCTTTTTTTTTCTTCTGCTTAATAACAACACGAATGAGATACGCATTCGGTGTTTTATTATAGATTTTGGAAGGTCAAGGTAAGAAATTGTTAGAATCGAATCAATCAATCAGTCAATCGTCCAATTGATCTAATCTATTGATGACAACGGAGAAAATTATATTTTCTTTCTTCGAACAAAACCTTATTAGTCTACAGGGACCTGTAAGTACTATCGACATACTTGAGTATTCTCTCCTTTCTTTCTCTCGTGAGAATTCTTTTTTGTCCGAAGCATTCGAGACACAGAAAATGTGTTAATTTTACGATTATGCTCGCAATATCGTCATTCAATCTTCTATTTCAATGTTACATACACAAACCAAGCGAGAGAAAGAATACTACTAATTAATACAACTGATAATTAGTAACAGTTGTTAAATGAATACAGATAAGAACAGTTGACAATTTTGATTGTCTTAACAATCACTTGAGAAACTCCTTGAAACACATTTCTACTAATAAGATTACAGGAAAAGTACGATATCAATCCTTTTATCCTGGACTAAACATAACGTGAAATCTGTTATTTATATAATTAATAGACAAAGAAATTTATTTTACTTACGATTCTTCAATTCTCATCTATGCTGATGTTTATATATCTAAAAGGAGGAAAAGAATTTTCTTCATTTGACTTTCAATTATATTAGTTTGTACTTATTCGCAAGATTCATTGTATAAATATATATATATATATATAGATATATTTATTAATAGGATTCTCATTAGATAGAAAAAACAAACTCCTAGAAAGAATATGAGACATGAAGAAGAGAAGGAAACGAAGACAGCAAGACCTCAATTTGCATAAATTTTATTTGAAGGTAAGAAAAAGGAAGAGAATTGTTACATTAAAATAGTACGTGCGTGTGATACCCATATGAAAAGATGACCACAGACGAAAAATAATGCAAGAGCAGGACGTGTTGAGAGAGATGGGCGAAGAAAACACAGATCAAAGACAATGACAAACGAAAAACACCATTTATATAGATAAAGTATAGCGTGCATAAAGTCTATTTATCGCTCATAAGAAATAAACTGCTAATTAAGTTTACAAAAAGAAAACACCGGGGGAAAGAGGGGAGGAGAGCAAATCTGTGAACGAATATGAAAAAAAGGGTATCGCGTATCATCATCTTTTTCTTTGGTTATAAAAAAAAAAGGAAAAAACGAGCTTTTTTTGTTTTAAACACATGACTGACGAAGAGGTATATACAATGCGCACAAATATAATAATAAAAAGGAAAAAAATGAAGATAAAAAAGGTCAATCGATACGATCAGAACCTTTTTTGTTTGTCAAGAAGGAATGTTTCCGTGCGGATTTGTTTAGATTAAAGTCGGGTCTAAATGAAAAGAATAACAATCAGAAATTATCGACCATTTGAATGTAGAAAGGTTATTGTTTTTGTTTTTGTTCTTTTCATGAGAAAAAACAGAGAGAGAAAGATATTTAGTGAATCAAGTGATTAAAACTAGAGTATGCATTCTGATGAACGTGGATTAGAACAAACTGAAAGACATGCGCAGGAAGAACACGGTGCATACAAACCCGGATTATAAAGGGACTGGTCTATTGGATAGAGGATGAAAAGAGAAAATATAATTATGAGGTTAAATTAAATCATATGAAGAGAGAAATGTAAAGGTGTACGCAAGCTGAGAATAAGAAATAATTCGATTAGGAAGACTAGTTTCCTTGTCTGTACATACCGATTCATCTTCGATACCGCTGGTTGAAGGATTACGACGTTGACGGTGTATAGGTGAATGTTCAGTTGAGTTGCTACCTAGAATTCAACGAAGAATAAAGACAAAGTTAGAGCGGAATTTGATTAGATGTGATCGATTCTATTGCTTATATAATCGTCTTTTATATTCATAAATCCTCGAACGAAATCGATATAGATGATTCTAGGTTTCCGACTTTGATTACTCACTAACAAAAGAGATCTCCAGGGATGTGAAATCGAAGAACAAAAGAAGATTGCCTAAAGTATGATATACTACCTATCAAAGTAGAATATTCTACTGAATATGAACATGTCCTTCACCTAGAAACTACTAACTGCGAGTGAATTCAATTAGTCTAAAGTGATATAGACTACTTGAAAACTTTCTCAGAAACAATATCAATGAGAGTATGCGATCACTTCAAGTAATAGAATAACTTACGATAGGATAAGTTCGTTGTTGATGATGCTAATTTTCCTACGATTCCTCCACCAATGGGTAATAAAATCTGACGTGGTTCGTCATGGTCATCATCTTCATCATTGTCTCTTGTCTTCGGCGGTGTTAATAGAACTCTTCTAGTGTACGATGGACTTTGAAAAGGTTTATTGAATGACGTTGTTACAATCCTCGCTGAATTTTGTCTTGTAGGCTCATTATATAGAGAATCTGATTGATGTGAGCTTGAATAGAGAGTGGTTGAACTATCGCGTTGATTATGTTCAGCTTCAGTTTTTCGCATCAGTGCGTGCGCACGTGTAGATGGCGATGAAGAATAGTAGGATGTGATTTGACTATTTGTTGTTCGAGTTCCTGTGCTCGAACTCGAATTTGTATGGTCAGCATAAACAGGGAGATTGTTGCGAAATATCTTTGTGTTATAAGCTGTTTTTGGTGAGCTAGAACAAAGAGAAACGTGTGAGAATAAATAGGTTTTTTTTCGATCGGACGGTTCTCGTACCTAGTATCTGATTGATTCGAATTCAACGGTGTTGTATCATACGATCGCCGCTGTATCGGCGAGGTATTTAAACCACCACGATCATTTCTAACTGTGACTGGCGTCGTCGTCATCATTTCTTTTTCACGTTCTGATCCTGGAATCATCTTTGATAACCTGGATCGGCGTTTGACTGGTGATTCTCGTAGAGCTGCAAGAAAAAACAAAATTTTTCTCACATGTACGATTATTCATCACAGCTATTCGCTAATACAAAGCATGTAACACACATAGCATATATCCCACACCGAAACTTTCCGGAATTTTTTCACAAACTCTAGTGCCCTAATATTTTTCAGACAATAGGATAGGAGGGGTTGGGTATGAAAGTATAGAACATATATATATATATGATGAGCACAGTACAACGATAAGAAAAACAACATATTTGTTGCGTGTTCTTTACCAATCAATGCAATTGTGCGAAATTTCTTGTTATCACCTAAGATCGATGAAGAGAAATATTTCTTTATGTAGTAAATCATTAGAAAAATCATTGTGTTCGTTTAGAAGTAGTAATACACCCGAAAATCAAAGTTTATCGTTGAACTCAACTTACATACTTCATCCTGAGATCGTACAAAGACTAAATTTATACATTCGAATGTGTATGAAAAGAAGAACCGATGGATGGAAAAGAAAATAGGAATCAAATATTTACGTGGTGCTTTTTTGAATACAGTAGTAAAGAGAAATTTTTGAAATCGTTCAGAGTAAAAACTTGGGTTGGTCACTGAGATTTGCGTCTAGAAGAAAATTTTGTTGGATTAAATTCAAACACTATATTGTGATTTTACCCCGTCGGTTAGGACAGATTTGAATGTATGTTCTAATTTCTTCCGAATATGATACGATTGCAAGATATCGATTATACCTACGTAGAGCAATAAGCGTTGACCACTTGCCGTTCGTGCTGGAATACCGCCAGTTCTTGAAAAAGAGATACGCAAGATACAGTGTTTCGTTTCTTTCTCTTCGATTCGAAAATTTCGCGTATGAGTCATGTATATCCGCAGATATGAAAACCGCTGGGAATATTTGCACATGCGTTTACTCCTCACACTTTAAAATGTACCAGAAAGTTCACATACTTCACAAGATGGTCATCAGGTTTATTATGTTCGTCAAATTCTACTTGGATAGTGTCCATTGGAGTGGAGTACATCATACGTTTTGGTTGTACAGATGTTTGTTCTACAGAGAATTGAAAGAACTTATCATCAATAGTTTGCAAAACAACATTCTACTTACCGCCAGGTGTACATACAGGATTTAGCATAGGGCGATCCTTAAACAATAAACATAGGAGAAAGAACTCGAAATTTCTATGTCTTACTCCGCCTGATTCCGCAGTTGCATCAACTTGATGAACACCAATGAGAAATGAGTAATCCATGATCCGAAAACTTTCAAGAACCTAAATCAATCGAGATTGTTTCTGTTCAAAAGCTTCGCTCAACAATCGATCGAATGAACTCACTCGACAATCTCGTTGAACAGTTTTCGCTAACGCATTGAAAGTTTCGGTATCTAATAATAGTCCATCAGGATGTCTTTCCATGAAATCTAGATCTTTCCATGTTGGAGACTCTTTTCGTCTTTCCGCACTATTTGCTCGTCGTTTGTAGGTTGAGCCTTTGAGATCGTATTTCTCATGCATTTGCACATGAGATGGAATCAAATTATTCATTACAGTTATTCGAATATTTTTATTTTCGCCCTACAAAACAAAGATAACCATTGAATCAGTTCGCAAGACAAGGAAAACAACCAATCGGAATCTATTTGAGCAAAATCACAGAAGCTTCACCTGAAGGCAACGAAAAATCTTGTCAGACGATGATTTAGCTGGAATATTCAAATATTAGAAGAAGAAAATTCAACGGTTAGACATGGAAATACACACAAAATGATTGTGGGTTAATCAACTAGAAAAGAAACCTTTTTCTTCGACACTTTCACTTACACTCCCGTTATACTTATTTCTCGGCATGAATTCTGTAACCTATAGATATGCAAATATCGTTATCCATCCTTTTCATTGATTAGTTTGACTTCGAACTCGTCAGAGAGAATACTTCTAGAAAGGCAATTTTCTCCGAACATACCTGATAACAGTAGAGACCGAAGAATTTCGGCAGCAACGTTCGTGGATTTTGAGTGACGTTCTTGAAAGAAAAACAGCAAAAGAATATGAATAAATTGAAAGAATTTTATATCACACCATGTAATAACCGGGAAGGAGACATTTTAAAAACTCCGCCTCCTTCTTTTGTACTGTTTTAAGTATAAATTCATCATCGGATGTTAAGTAAAATAAACTTCCACTTGCACCCGGATTTTTCAATTCTCTTAGCGGTTTACAAATCGAATACTAAAAGCAATAGAAATCAATCATGAAATAGGAACTTCAAAACCCGACAGACTTACCAAAAATTCATCTGGTTTAATATTAAATAATTCTCTGAAATGTCGAAATGCCACAGGAGCATACGAACGAATAGTAAAATCATAGAATCGATGTGCTGGAGTTGTTTTCGTTCCCTCCCTACAAATCAAGCTCAGCATTGCAAATTCAATTCAAACATGTGTCATACTTCGGGAAATGTATAATCTCAACAGTCAAAAAGTCCTGATAAAGTACGTCGTGTGCAGCTTTGGCTTGAAGTCCGCCAACCGTATACTGAATGCCTAGTTGTAACGCTTCGACAAGTTGAGTTATAGGTAGACGTTTAAAGGTAACATTTCCTTGAGTGTCAACACGTAAATGACCAAGTTTATGTTTTTTACCTTGACGAAAAGTAAATAGAATCGTTTCGGTTAATTCAAAATCGAAGAAAATACTCTTACCGATATCAACACCTTCGCCATCTTCATCTTCGGGTGAATCACCTTTTGCCTACATGGAAAAAAGAAGTTTTATCGTATGGAACAAATGGTTTTCTCTCTTTTGGAAATACCTCAACAGGTTGCGCACTTGACGACATAATTTAGACAAAACATAAAAAATAAATTTTTCTAAATCAAAACAAATTGTGTTTAGTAATGCAATGTTGACGTCATTCTTGTCAGAGATTGTATAAATACATGTGGAATGATCGACTAATCTGGCTTTCGTCTCCTCTGACTAAGAAAAGAGAAAAAAATGAGACGAGAAAAAGACGATATGCATATGAAAGAACAATGATGAAAAAAACAAATAACAATAAACAACAGAACAGAAAAAATCTATTAGCAACTGATAAAAAAAGAAGAAAGGGAGAAAATACACACAACAATAATGAACCAATCGATAGGAGGAGATAGACGAGAGATTATGTACACTGGAGCCATCTTCTGGAGTTAATATTTACGCGACATAGGCAATGAACGACATTCAGCGATCGTCAAATATTGACTGGCAGTTGTTTTATCAATGAGAAAATTAATGAGCGCACTATTTCGAGAAAAATCGATGAGACTTTCTCGCCGGCACGGTTTAGGTTCCAAATCAATGCAGCCAAAGACGCACGTTCATGCAACGATGAGTGGTCGGATGAATAACACAAAGCAAAAACCTCGTTTTTCTGTCGTCAAGATAACGGGCTACATAAAGCATGGAAAAAATTGCACTGTCGCCTTGAAATACGTTCGGAAATGAAATGCATTCTCTTCAGCGTTTGCTCCTCGAACTTTAGACTGCTTTGCGAACCACACGATCGGATCGGATGCTGTTCGAAAATCGTACTATACTTTTGGAATATTTACCCTTCGATCTTCTGAAAGTAAAGTTCACGCAAACAAAACAGTGTTCTTTAAATAAAGTGAAAGAAAAGAAAACTTATTCTGCCTACGATTAATAAAATAATCAAATAATTGGATGACGAGAGAAAACTTCAAATATACAAAAGAAGACTTTTTTGTTCCAGTTCATCGCTAGTGACGTGCACAGACATTGTGAAACAATTTGACCTTCAGTTGAAAGTTAAAAGAGAAATGGTGTTTTTCTTTTCTCACGTCTACAAGCCGAAAAAAGAAAGAATCGAAGAAAAATTCAACTTTGCTCAACGAGAAATTTTCGCGAGAAGAGAAAATCAAAAAGATAAGATAAATCACTTGATGCACGAAAAGCGAGACAATCAAAAATGTATTTTATCAACTGCTTCTTTTTCGCATTTGATATCAAATCAAATTAAATGATTCTCGAATTTCATCTTCTCTTCGCTTTAATTCTACTTCCAACAATCATTTGAGAGGTTCTAACATACAATGTATCAGGTTTTCTTCTCTGTTTTGTTTATATTAACAATCAGTCAATCAGTTCATTGTTCGTACCGTTATGCCGGCTGTTTTACGCACGTTTTTCACGATAGTTACTTCAGCAGTTCGTTCATGGAACCAACACTATGCTTTCGTCTATGCGATAGACCGATAATTTACCTTCAAAAAACAGTTTGCCGATGTTCAGGTGGTGGACTTATGGACCAAAGTCGACAGAGCGATAAAATGTGCTCATATTCATGTACAAAACCTGTCGACCGTGCAGTAAATACATTCAATACATGCGGTGGCCCGTCGGCGTATTCCGCTTATGTTCAAGAGAAGTTCTACAGCTTACATGGACATTTATTTAACTATCGGATCGATTTTTCTGCTTGTGAACTGTGGAAAAGCTCCGATGTTTATGATACTCATTCAATTCGATTAACTGGCATTACTGTTCGATCGTCCTTGAATAAGTTAGAACAATGCGCTGCGGCATGTTTAGATCATAATGCAACCACGAAATCCATCGGTATGATCTACTTCAATCTTTCATATTTTGTTCGGTGAAATTCTCCTTACTCTCTCTTCTCTCTTCAGCATTCAACGGTGAGGGTGATAAATGCCTATGCGTAATGCCGCTACAATCCAATCGATACTTCCAACGCATACATTACACGACGTCTTTACCAAATACTTCGTGCGATCTTTATTGTAATAATACAGCTGAGGGTTCGAAAATAATGCCGAAATATAAATGTGGTTCGACCAACAGTTCTCAAATTTGGGCCATTTATGATCTGAACGGTACATGTCCATTAAATTTTGCTTATATCAAAGATTTGAACAAATGTGTTTATACATACAAAAACTTCTGGAATCAATGTACGCCCCCGTCGGTGATGTACACTTTCGATGGGAATGTAAGTTGGAAACGGTTTTTAGATATGATTTCAACGCTTAATTTGAGTAATTCTACTGTAACTGTTGATTTCGATGAAAGTGTTGTGGTTGATCCGTCATGGAAATGTCCACTGGCAATATTAAATTCTAATTCCTCAACATCAATGTCATTATCGGCCTGGCGATCGTATTTATCACAGTCACGATCAAGTTTGTATGGATGGAGCACGAGTACACGATACATTTTAGAAAATGGATGTCTAACTGAGAGTTCACATTCATCCTTTTCACATCGGTATTCGTATCGCATATGTGTAACGGATCCGATTGATAAATATTCATTGAACGCTGATGAGGGTAATGAAACTTATATAGCTGCCGTGAATCCGGCACAGAAATTCTGTCCAACAAATTGGTTTGATCTGAATGGACGTTGCTATCGAATGTCAGATGAACGAAAGACAATTGAACAAGCACGAAATAGTTGCATTAGTGTGTCATCGAATCCATCGAAATTGGCAGATAAACCTCAAATCTGGTTACTGGATGGCAATGGCAATGTCATTGGAAATGAAGAACAAAACGAATCGCCTTCCGGTAAAGTTGTTGAATATGCCTCGATCTGGCAAGCAAGACTCGGATTCTTCCTTCTCGACACAGATCCTGACAGTGGTAAGAAAAATGTTCGTTCAACATAGTTCTTGATTGAATTCATTTCTTTCATTGATTAGATGATAGTAGTACTGTGACGACATCGACAGTACATAGTCTTTTCTATGATGACTCTTTGATCTCCTCAGATACGAACGAAACCGTAGACATCGATCACGGTGCCATCAATGAATTTCAAGCAGTTGATGATTATGATGATGAAAGTACAGGCGCTAGTGCGAATAACACATGTGTTCTTATCACACGTTCAATTAGCGAAGAAGAAGAACGACCAATCATTCAAAGTACTCCAACGAAGAATTGCTCAACACCACGACATGTTTTATGCGAAGCAAATACATTAATTGTGCAAAACTTTCAATACAATTGTTTAAGTAAACCACAAACTCTCGATCTACCAAGTTTAATATCGAATCAATTATCACATGAATTGTGTTTATCAGTATGCCAAGAACTACAAACTAAATTAGCAGTTTTAAACACTGATAAATGTTACTGCTTGAATGGTGCTGATTCAGAATCAATGAATATAACTGCTGACTTTCAACCATATGAACAAAAGTTCTGTGGAAAACCTTGCCCAGGTCTGTTTTCACCTTTTGAAATATCTTATCATTCTTCTTTCTAGGCAACTCTCATGAGATCTGTGGCGATGATAATACAATTGTCGTGTTCCAAATTCTGAATTCGCGTCGTACGTTCACATTCAGTCGTACACCTGCTGAACCCTATCCGAATTATATTTACGACGGTTGCGTACAGTTAATTTCATTCAATCGATCAGTCACATATCATTTCACTTTAAATGATGTTCGTCATTATCATCCGAAGTATTGTTTAGCATTATGTACGAAATATAAACAGAAATATGCATTGATTAACAATGGTATATGTCTATGTACGAATAAACAAATGAAAGGCGAACAAGACGATGTGAAAAAGTTAACTGGACAAACTTGCAATCGACAATGCCAGGGAAATTACTTTTACACATGCGGAAGCAAGGAAAACTCGACTGTTTACTCTATGTATGTCTTGAAACCAAAATGTATTCACGGTAAACGATTTCTGTTTCATGGCAAAATTTCTTTTGCATTGATTCGTTCTCGGCTTGTTTGCTTGTTTAGGTTTTGAAACTGCAGAAAACAATCAACAGTGTGTGTATACACATTTTTCGACAAAAACGAGTTCTCTTGTCGCAGCACAAACCTATTGTCAATCACTGGGTAGTAAATTGGCAAAAATCAATGAACTTGTTGAAATTCAAGATATTTTGCCCGAATCAATTCTGCACACGCGTCTTATGCGACAATTACTTATAACCTATAAATTTAAATTTGTTAATGATACTCGCTACTATTGGATTGATCGAACAAATGACGCGCCCGATCCAAATTCCATATCAGAACGCTTGCTTGGACAGTGTGTGCAAATGCCTGAGATTGTTGATCGAAACTGTATTGCTATACAGTACATACCCAGCTCGAATCAAAGTAAAATAAGCCATGAAAGATGTATCAGTGAATCAAATGCTTGTTCAACACAAGCAGCGATGCCCGTGTGTATTGATCAACATCTAGAACCACAAGTATCTGTAGTTCCGCCGATAACCAAGGAGTACCCAGCAGGTGTATCAACAAATATTACGACTCTCCATTCATGTGAGGATGAAACAGGTGAATATCATTTAGTCGATGATTATTGTTACAAAATCAACCCACATGAAGTTAGTTGGAATGATGCCAGAGCGGAATGTCAACGCGATAATGCAGCACTATTTGTCCCAGAGAAATCTGTTGCTTTACAGTATATCAAATCCTTATATCTTCGTCTGCGATCCTATACATCATCCGGTCATGCACATGTCGGTGTTTTCTATGATTATAACAATCGAACTGTGATTCAGTACAATGCTGATGATGAAAATAATCGACTAGTTCTCCCAGATTCCAATGCTATTTATGATCTATGTGAAAAGACATTCCAAGAACGGTATGAGGCAGTGATGTTGTCATCAAGTTTAACAACAACGGAAAAAAATCAGATTAAGAAACAACAAATTGGTTGTGCATACATTGATCTAACATCAAGTGCAGTGCCAACAATCCGATGTGACGAAATTCCCTGTAATCGAGCAGCGGCTATCGTTTGTCAAAAGGCGCCCATATCCGTATCAAGTATCTTTGTCGCGAAACGGTTAGTAAACAATTCATTCAAAAAGATCTTCACTACCGTTTGTGTTTCAGTAAATATTCAATGAAGCCTTCGACTAGTAATGTTACCAAATCGCCATCAACAGCGACAGTGTCATCAGGAAGTTCTGACGACGACGACGACGACGACGACGACGACGACGACGACGAAGATGATGATCAAACATCAACAACAGTATCGTCCGATACTCCAAATGATAGCACTGCATCATCACAATTGAGGTCAATTGGACGAGATTTTGCTCCGTTGTTTTTCATCTTAGCTATTCTATTTGCCTTCATATTTCTCGGTTTTCTAAGTGTGATACACAATCGTCGCGGTATGCTATTCGGTCATTCCAATCGTCGTCCCACCAACTCTGTTTATTCACAATTAACCTCTGCGAATGAATTTGATTTAAATTGAAAAAAACAGAATTCAATAAATATTTCTAATGATTCGATTTATTTTCTTTTGTTTGATATGTTTATGAATAAGGTGATCAATTTCACAGGATTCCGCAAACAATGGATGAATAGAACACGAGGGAAGAGAGACACCATTGCATATTTATAATCATGAAGATGTTATTGTCTATCATCAAGTATACTCGAGATGGAATGGAAAGTAAATTAGAATGAAAATTGCTCATAATGAATTTCATTTCGAATTCAAATTCGAATCAATTCCGGTTTCATGCGTCTTTCTTCTGCTTGATTTACATAGTGCTGATACGAAGAAAAAAAACGAAAAGAAAAAAGGATTTTCATTTTTTCTCTTTTTACCAATTTTATTGCATACAAAAAAGACGCAACAAACTCCATTCGTATGCCATTTACAATATACTATTGATATTGTGCCTGACAACAAACGATAATCGGATAAACACACTTGAGAATCTCTTCGGTTTATAAAACCAACAAATTTCCATCATAATTGACTCAAGTAAGTTTATCTTCGAGAGTATTTTCTTCTTGCTGTCTGTATCAACGGGACAATTTTAGTTTCTTCTTAATCAATCAATCATGAACCGAATGATCATGGTCATACGTTATCGAAAAGCCACACATGTTGGTTTAACATCGTCGTTTACTCAAAATTTCATTCAAGTTGTTTATCTACCAATCAACGAACGATACATTCAAACTTGTTTTTAATTTCAACATGTAAGTCTTCGTTCGTCTTTCATCTCATTTCATTTTTCTTCTTCGTATACGAACAGGTAACAATCAACAAGCTGAACAAATGAAATAACGCATGGGTAATTATCACAGAAAGAATACTGACGAAAGACAACACATAAAACGAGTACAGTAAGAATTTGCAATGCGTAGAATAACCTGGATATGCATAATTTATATCTAGCTGAATAATAAATCTCGCTTATAAAACTAAACAAATATGATTGCTTCGTCATTATACGAAATTCGTGTTAGAAATGCTCGTATTCATATGTAAATTAGTTTGTTCTACTTATTCTACTTGTCAACCTAAGAAAAGAAGGACAAGTATCAGGCGTATACATTCGCCGCTCAGGGTTAACTTTTTCTTCTTCTGTTAATCCAATGCCAGCGGTATAATCGCTGAATTGATCGTGTAGAAAAACTTCTGGTCACTTCTCTTTAGATGAATGAAGAAAAAGGAATCTGTTGACTTCAGGCTTCTGTTTTCATACAGTTTGAAAATAGAATCGAAAGTATAAGAAGTCGGTCATATAAAAGGAAATTCTGCTTGAGTACTTATTCGAATTAATATCTCGAGTACTTCAATGCGATAAGCATGAAATCACTTTGATTTTTCACTATTATTCTCTTGAATTTGATGTATCTATGCGATTATTTCTATCTGAATTTCATACGTACGTGTCATATCTATGATAATAGATAAGCTCTGAGGCTTTCTATCAAACACAAAAGAAGAAAAAAAAGCAATACTAGAAGATCAACAATCAATTGATCAAATATCTGCACTAGACATGCACACATGTAGGCATGTATACTTGATATGTAAAGATTATACGAAATGAAAAATGAATGACTAGTTTGAACAATTATATACAGATATACGAGTATCTCCTCATCTTACGTCTTAAGGTTTAGAACGTATGAGATTAAACATTAGGTTGACATCATTATCTCAGTTGTAAAAATCGATCGTTCGCTGTTTCTTCATGAGTGACATTGAGAGAGACTCAATTTCAGTTACAGTCGTAAAAAATGTAAACTTCAATCAGTGAATAATGAATTCATTTCAATTTTTTACCTCTTCTGTAACTTCACATATTGCTGATGACTTATCAGTTGAAACCAACAGTTCTATCATTGATGAAATCTACCCTTGCTCGCGAGTTTTTTTCTTCTCTTTTCAAGGATGCACTTGCGTGTTCATTTCGAATACATTAAACGCGCAAGAGTGATATTATCTATGACCTATGTGTTCAATCAGTATCTTGTACAAGAACGAAGGCTTAATGACACATTTGTTCACACCTTGCTGTCATTTTCACTTTTTTTTTTTACTAATTTAGTTTTTTCCTTCGCTCTCATCGGCCAGTTTTCTTTTCATTTCGTTCAAATTTACAGTCAACAGGCAAGAGATATTATCTAGGAAACCGAACTGACATAGATTGTATACATTGGCAAAGAATAATTGCCTCTTGATCAGATAAAACAAAAGCGATGGATGATGCGTTGAAACGTAACATTGATATTCGCAGTTTTAAATGATTTAAGATGTAATCAGATGAGAATCAAGTCAATGACCTTACTATCTTTTACATCATTTATTTATTTAGGTACACACGTACCCCATCTGGTCATTATCCGACGAAGGAACTCCACTAGCGCTATATCAGTAATAGCCTTCTGTCAAGAGAAACTCATTCTTGATGTATGTATATCGTATTGTTGAACTAAGAAATGGATAACAGAGAGAATCTCTTCCCTTTAGCTAAAAGTAAAAACAGACGACACCATTGGTAATCTATATTTTTGTAACAATAGTAGTACGTAGGAGAGGAGAAACAGCGAGAAAAAAGATGATGATGATGAACAGAACGAATTGAAATATGTGTTTATTGTGCAAATAAACGATGAAAACGGGCTCCATCTGCATTTTTTTCTCGACATCATCATCATCATCTATATGTGTATATACGCTATGGTCTATTGACATATCGATCATAGTATGTATATATGGTATATTCTGTTCAATAAGTGTACGCGTAATATCCATTTCCCTCTCTCTCTCTCGTTTTTTTCTTCCCTCTTTGTAACGCGTTTTTTTACTCTTATCTCTTAGATCGAATAACGCTCTGCTGCTTCTCGGCTTTTTCTCTACGCTATTTATATCCATTGTTCTTTTCGATATATGGAGATATTTTAACGATGTAATCGAATAATGATGGTGACAAGCTCATCAGTTATTAATCCATAGCAAACGCTACAACAGGTTTCGATTTCGACATTTGGAATTGATATCAGACAAACATGCACCGAACAGGTAAACGAATAAATATGTGTGAAATCAGAAGAACAGTCAGTTACTAGTAGAAATGATGACATTTTCAGACTGTAAAAACTTTCAAAATGAGATGAATTCTATGTGTATACATATATACATATTCACTTCATGACTTTTTTTTTCAAGTTGAGAGGTCTTTCAAGTGGGATGCATAAACATACGCACATATACTACATCATTGAAAATGTGAGATCGTATAGATAGACTTATTTTGTTTGTTTCACTTTCAACATGTGCCTGTGTGCGCTCTCTGTCTCTCTTCGTTATTCTTTCTTTACCTTCTCGCTTGTATAAGTAGTGTCACACGTACACAGCAGACTAAGATTCTTCTTTATATTTGCCAATCGCGTGTCGGGTGTAAGTGTTTTGTCTGTTTTACCGTAAAAATTGTTTTCTTAAACTGTCAGTTGAGTGGTCTTCGGATTTAATTTCATAATATAAAAAGAAAATTCAAGAGGAAACGATTCAGCAGAGTATTGACTAACATGTTGATGAGTTTAGAAGTGTGGAAATCAGAAAAGAGGAGAGAAAAAGTCTTTAAAATATTTTCATTTGACAAGACAGCATGAATAATGAGCAAAAAATACACAAACCAGACAAAGAGAGAGAGAGAGAGAAAGCGAGAAAAAATCTTTCTCGTTTTTTCTTTGTTGATCCATTGTGAGACATTTATTTCAAAAATAATGCTTCGTATCGATGAAGAAGGTTTACACGATACCGAGGAAACGACAGGTGAGTCTATAAAACCGACTTTGTCTTTCCGTTCGTCGAGAGGAATTCAACATATGTATTTAATTGGACAGATGAAACAGAGACCTTTGTTTTAGTTGATCAATTTCCTTCTGTTGTTCGACCACCTCCGGAGTACAACGATTGTGATCTCGGTAACACCACCAACGTTTGCTCACGCAAACAAACCAGCGTCCAGACTGAACATACTAAATATCATCTAACGAATCGATCGGCGTCTTTACCGTCTCGTCAGTCATCGTCTCCGCCGAGTATAAACACTGAAGAAAACATTAAACAACGTCGACGATATGCTAGTGATTCCTGCAATAACAATAAACATCTAACAGCTTCAATCGTAACTTCGTTTCTTCAATACTTACGAAGTGAATTAAGAGCGACAACACACGATCAAATAAATGATTACGAACGAATTAAAACAATGGTAAAACTGCTCAATTCTCTCTCTGTCTCTTTCTTTTACTAACTCATTCATATCCATATCTAATCAATGAAGTTCTGAGATAAATGACCGAGACAGACAGAAAGAAAGAAAAACTTCTACATTTCTTCAAATATGCTTTGACATTCTCTTTTTTTTTTCTTGACTGAAGAATAATTGCCAATAATCATTTCTCGTTCTTTTCTTTATTTCTGCTCCATTTTCAACTTGTTAAAGAGAAGAAAAAAACTCATCTCTATTTTCATTTTCAACGAAGGCAATGCAAATTGATCGTGCCGAGATGATTTAAACTTCTAGAAAGGAACACATTTTTATGGTTATTCTCTATTTTTTTTACGTCATCATTCCTCATATGTCAACTCTGTCTACACTTCTAATCGTACAAATTATTAGATTTCTTCTTCTTTTATTCTGTCTTCACGTTTTTTTTTCTCACAGGAATCATCTGATTTTCATCAATATCGACCGCAATCAATTTCAATGGCATTAGATTCCTCATCTCAATCATCAAATGATACTTCATTGAATCTTCTGCATCACGACGAGGAGAACAAGGAAATCTCAACGTTAATCAATCTGCTTATTTTACGTGTTGAATGTCTCACGAATACGACAACGTTGATCGAAACAAGCAAGAAGCCGAACATCTACCCGTCGATCAAACAAATTGATCAAAATCTCACGGAATATCTCTATTATCTTTTCAATAAATTTACAAAAGACGATCCAGAAATCGGCGCACCAATGATTGATAAAACAAATTTTGTCAACGTATGTCAAACATTAGTGCGTAATGGTTGTTTTAATATGCCATCATCGACGTCACCTGATCAATCATATTCAGAAGCGACATTAACAAATAGTAATGAACTAACATTGATTCAACCGGCAGTACGTGAGTATAAGCCAGATGCCGATGAGATGACATTAGACAAGTCGTCTATTGATGAAACAATTTCATTGATGCCAATGAGTGATCAAGATACTTGGCTGGTGGTGGATCTCGAACCATTTAAACCACAATATTCAATAGTTAATCCTAATGAAGCAAAAGTAAGATATTTGAGTGCGATATTGATGCGATTTAAGTCCGACAGGTATTGATCCTTCAAGCAAGAAGACAATTTTTGCTCAAGGAACTATATTTGATTGTGTACCTATTCGTTTTCGATCATCACTTTTCAACATAAAATATATACTTCATCAGTTTCTATTGAAAAAGAGAGAGAGAGAGAAAGATGACAGTCTGGGGCCTTCTCCTGTCAGCAATGAAATTTTATCAACGTCTACGACAGATCTCTTTGAGCTGCAAAGAAAGAAAAACTACAGGTAAATATTTACATATATTTGTCCATCCGAATACTACTTTGTCGAGTCATATTACAGATGCAAATATAAAACTACAAGATAATCATTTCTTTAATGATCTATAATAAATCCTCATAGAAGAAAAGAGAAGCGAATCTTTCGTATGAGAAAAAAACACACCTTTATGTTTGCTTAAAAAGAAAAAACTAAAGTTCAAAATGGCAAATATCAACAGATTGTATATTTGAACGAAGACCTTTAAGTCGAAGAAGTAATCTTATCTTTTTCACTTGCGAATTTGTCCTTTAGAGATCAATTAATTTAATTCATACATTTGTTCGATGACAGCTAAAGTGTAAGAATAATAAAGAAATGTAGAAGATTTTTGTCTTGCATAGTTATTCACGCCTACTCGAACACGAGAAAGTTGCGTCACATAGACAATTACCACTAAGAGGCGTTACTTTTTTTTCTCTCTCTCTCTCCTTTTTTTCCTTTGGATATGCAAGAGAGCAATAGTGTATACTCGAGACACGCACGATACATGTATCAAATAGGTTATATATTATTTTCGTCTTGTTCTTTTGCAAGTGTTTATTACCAACATCAACGTCCGATGATCAATTACTATTGACAAATGAAAATTATTTTTCGTTCGAAGAAATCAAATCGTCCTGTGGTTCGGAATCGTCACATAGTAATTATTTTTCGCCCAACTCGTCATTAGTTGATTTACAAACTATGGTACAAGAGTTCGATGAAATAAATAATAACAATCATAATAATAATAATAATAATTCATTATTCAATGAAGGTAAATATCGCGGCTTGATTTCTTTTCTTTCAATGCTTTTCGTGTTGTATTTGTGCAATCTTCTGATTAAATAGCAGAATAGGCAAAAAAGTAGTTTATATGCGTTTTTTTTCGTCTTTCGAATGGAGTAGGGGATATAAAAGAAGAAAAAAAAGGAGGAACGAAAGCGAAAGGGAAGGAAAGAACGAGGAGAGGCAGAACGTTCTCGTGCCTTGGTCATGTTGAGATTATTTCGAAAGACAGATAAACAAACTCGTAGGTGATCAAAACATCAAATAAACAGTTCGAATTAATTATTCTGATTTTATTTAAATAGATGGATCAACATCAATTGAACATGCTTCAAACAATACTAACGTCATTATAGAAGACAAAGATCATCCAAGCAATAATGACATTTGTACAGGATTAACTAATGAGCAAAGTACTATTAAGAGCAATGAACAAGTAGTATCTTCGTCATCATCGCCAACGATGGAGACAGCAGAGCAAATGACAATCAATATCAATGGGACTAAATATCGACGAGATAAAAAATTACAAGAACGGTGGACGATAACCACAAAAAATGAAACTCCTAATCAGAATCCGCCGGTTAACAAAGCAAATTTAGGTGTTGAATTTCCACCCATCGCAGTTTTACGACGGAAATTCTCCACATTACCGGCGCCAACTATTTTAAATCCGGTACCCATCAAACGTAAAGATAGTTCGACGATAAAATCTAAAGGACATTCAAATAACACTGAAGTAAATAATCCTTCAGAAGATAATATTAACAAAGCAAATACCTCAAATCCTTCGATATCATCAGAGACTCAGGTTAGTGCATCATGTTGTTGTCTTTAGTTGAGTGTGAAAATATGTCTCGCTGTTTATTCTTGAACATAAAAGAAACATTTATGCAATCGACGCGTTCAATTAACATAACAGAAGACATTCATCGAGATGTCGATGAGGTTTCTGTCATGAATGGCATTCTTGATTATTCATATTCATTGAGCAAAAATATCATTCCGATTTTCAATTTCTTTCGTTTATGTTCAGTATGTAATTATCAGATAATTTAAACCCATCGACTATATTCTCGAGTGGCGTGTTGCATTGATAAGATCTTATCATCGTTTCTTTTCTTTCTAAACTTCATCAAATTTCATTCGACGAACAAAAAAATCCTTTCGGATAACAATCAGTGTTGCTTGCATGATGAACTTCAATAGTTATTCTCACGTGATGCACCACAAGGTTCTTTTCGAACAACAAGACAGCTTGTTGTATGAACTTCGAACGATAACTGAAGAACATTATCAGAAGTCGCAGAAAATCATGTCATTAGTGTAACCGAGATATTGAGTTTTGTTTGTGTAATGCTATGCAGACTGACTGAGACTTGCTTGCTTGTCATTATCAAAATTGAACTGTTCTTTCGTTTATGTAATTTATACGTAATACGATTGTAAACGAGTGATTATATGGTATAACTCTATTCTTTGAAATTTTTAGGAGATTCAGGCGCCACCAATGACACCGCCGATAATTCTGATCGAAGATGTACCGAAATCTGATCAACAGTCGAATGGTAAGTAATCTTTTCTATCGAATGCAGGTCACGTGAGAGCACGAACGAGGAGATCTTAGTTTCATTATGCACAATTAAAATTTCATTGAGACGGGAAGAAAATGAGGTCAACAAAATTCTTTTTTTTTTATTACATCTACTTCATTTACTCACTTGTCTACCATGTGATGTATCATCAATTAAATAGTGGCTCATTTCATAGATTGTTATCTAACACATTGATGACATCCTATCAAAATTTTAGTTTCTACTTTCATACATCGTTTTGTCTGGTCTACTGATGTCATTATTTCATTTAGATGTAGCATTATTAATGAATAATCAGCAGACAAAACATGATACTCATCATTCCATCGTCGTCGATCAGGCAAACAATTCAATAAGTACATTCGAAATGAAGGAAGAATTAAGTCCTTCGTCGTCTTCACAGCATGACAGAAATTTAACTCACATTAGTGGGAATCAACAGAAAACGGCTCCTTCTGACATCGTCACGGATTTATTTGCTTTGAACTCAACCTTTTCCTCGTCATCTTCTTCAATAACAAACACTGATGAGACAAAGACAAACGAGTTTTTATTAAAAGAAACTGTAGTAGAAGAAGAAGAAGAAAAAGAGAAAAAAGAAGAAGAAAAAGCATACTATCACGACGATAACGTTGATGTAAAAGAAAAGAACAACACTACCGTTGAACGCAATTACCACGCGTCGGGAATGTTATTAATAAACGACGAACCAACGCAAACACTCTTGTTAGAGCAAGAGAAAAAAGAACAACACTCGACACCGTCATTAACCGCAGAAGCTTGTAATCAGCAACGACCTGAAAATGATTGTTCGATGGAGATTTTATCAGGCGAGTTACATACAATGATCAATGTTAATGTCGAAGATAATGAACAACGTTATAAAACAATCGAAATTGAAGAAATACCTGATGAAGAAGAAGAACAAGAAGTGCTCTTAGCACAGAACAATCTGTTGATTGAACCAATTGATTACATTGTAACTGATGACGAACCGAGAAAATCATCACGAAGCAAGACTAAACCAACACCAGTAGGAAGCGATAATCCATTGGAATTCGATCCCGTCATTTCTTGTTATGAGAAAGTTCTTTCGAAAGTTGCTGAAACAATGGGTGATTCGACAAATGCTACATCGTCGGACTCGTCTGTATCTGCTCCAACAGATCGCAATCGACGTGCGGAGGAAGATCCGATTGCACTACGTGCATTACAACGTTTTGAACAACGTATGAGTGCTGCTGTTGCGGCGAAAACGACCAGTGAAGAAATCGGTTCTACATCTGCTCGGAGTAAATCTTCCTGGTCAGGTACATCGACAACCCCTCGAAAGTCAGTGGAAAACTTATTTAAAAACAATCCACAACTTCCTCCGACTTCCATGCCATCGAATGAAGAAGGTTCACCAAAGAAAATGTCACCACGCCAACGTGATACATTCATTCGTCCACGAAAGTCAATGTTAGACGATGTTGGACTTAGTTTCAATAGAACAATGAATATCATCAATGCACCAACAGCCGATTCGACTAAGGATAATCATAGTCAATGTGAAGAGCAACAACAGCCGATAGATATATTAGGAGATGCCAATGATCGAGGTGAGTGTATGCAACAAACAGCTGGTCATAAAGGCTCTTAAAGCCGATAGGCACGTTTTCATGACACATTTGAGTTGTCAGTAAGTGATGACAGCTATACTCCTATCTATGACCGTTCCTAACTACTTTTGTCATTTTCCTCTCTTGGCTTCTTTCATTCATATATGTACAGAATGTTGATTAGAGATCCAATGAACTTATTCAGGATTACATGAGCAGAAATTCTTTTGTATGTCATATTGTATGAAACACTAGCTAAAGAGAAAGAATGAATGAATGAATTTATATGCGACAATTATGTTTATAAATCATTTTTGAAATGTTCATCAAGGTTTATGCCTTGTGCTTAACAATTGACCAATCATCAACACTCAGTTGTATAGATTGAAAAAAGATTTGTTTGACTATTCGAAAAAAGAAAGTGAGAGAGCATAAACGCGTGCATAACGAGCCTCAAAGCAATCGAAAAAGTTCATATTTGCTTTGTACGGTTGTGGTCTTTATCATGATTACAATGGCAGCAATCGAATAGTCTCTCGATTTCTTTCCCTCACTCTCTTTCTGTCTTTCGTTTTTGATGAATAGAAACGAAGGGAGTAATAAGAAATCCTTAGCTACCATCACATCTACTGCTAAAGATGAAAATAATAAACATAATAAGAATGAGATCGATGATTTCTTTTCTGCGTTTTTCTATGATTGTAATGTAGTTGAATGATGAAAGAGTAGAAGTTCAAGGATGTTCAGATTAGGCTTCGTACATGAGTGAAATAATTGTATAATATAAAACAAAGCTGTTCTTCTACTATATTTTGATTTTAGTTATTACCAATGAGACGATGAAAGCAGTTGACTTAGACGATCATCAACAACAGGAATCAGAACCATCAGTTGCAGTGGATCCATCAGCGACTAATGAAACGGTTTCAAATAATGAAGTAGAAGAGTCCAGTATATTACTCATACGTCCAATATCGGAGAATGTACCATCGAATGCGTCAATGACCGCAGTAGCCGGACAAATGCCATCGGAACAGCCGTCTCTTGTACCTTATCATCTTCAACTGGCAAGTCGGCCTCGCTTGAACACACTTGAACGTTTTCGTGACTACCGTCAGAATTATGATGCAAATTCTGCCGCACCGCAACCGCAACCACAGCCACAGCCACCACCATCCTATCAGACTAACTACAATGTTAAACCAGAAGATCTTCAAGACCCAATTATTCGTCGCGCACTTGAGCGGTTCGATGAAAAAAGTCGTTCATTAGCTCAACCAAAGCCAATGAATTACGATGACATTCAAGATCCAATCACACGACGTGCATTAATGAGACTCGAGACAAATTTAAAACGAACTGCACCCTCAAATCCTCCACCCATTACCAATGAATCTAATGAAACATGGTATACAAATAGTTACACACTTGGTTCATTACAAACGAATAATGATAGTCGTCTTGGTCGCTATCCTCCGTCATCGCTACCTCCAACTGGCAACCCGAAAACAATGCATACTTCTGTGCATCAGCGCTTGTATTCAGCATCATCTGATATGCCAGAAGTGCTCGCAGGTAATATGAACTCGGGCAATGATCAAGAGATACCAATAGTTCGTGTTCCAACGCAACCAGTCTATGTCACATCCAATCAACAGCCGATTAGTTTGCGTCAACGCTCACGTTCAGAAGATATGCTTTCATCAAGAGAAATGTCAATTGCTCAAGTGACAAATGTCGACGAAAATGATACATCTGAAATTCAGCGAAATCACTCATCAAATCAACTTGCATCACAAGAAACGCCGGTTGCAACCGAGGTGAATTCAAACGAAGGAGATCTGCAATTGCCACAAACGATTACGAAATCAATCGATCCACGGTTTGTACGGACACAAGAAGCAGCTGTCAATTATGCGACATCGACACAAAAGTACTCAGCCTATAGCTGTGAGTACACACGTCCACATCGCACTCAGTCTGTCGAATCAACTCGACCAGAATTTTCTCCCCGAAACTTTGAACTACAGCAGCAGTTCCTACCGGCAACAGATAATCTCGTTCAATATGCAACTTCATCGTCATCATCTGCATTTACACCTGTTCATCCTTCGACAAATAACTACCATCCTCAATCGCAACCATTGACTATGCCATCTTATAATTCAATGTACACATCAAATAATCCTCAACAAACACCTTATTCAGATGACCCAATGTAAGTTGAAATAGGACGCGTGAAGAGTAAAAAAATAAGATAATATTCTCGGTTTACATTTCAGTGTGCGACGGGCACTCGAACGATTCAATTCACAAATGCAAAATAGTATCATGAATACCTCGCAACATCAACATCAATCAAATTTCTTACCACGTCAGTTCTCTAGTGAATATCTACGGCATGGGGGTCACGAATCCTTTTACCCTCCTGAACCTCATCACTACGATCCTTATGTAAATTACAACCGTGCTATGCAACCGCTAACCGGTACTAACACAGGTTATCAATCAATCATTGGACGTCGTCGACAAATCCGTCATGATGATGTTTACCATGATAATACAAACATCGGAAGTGGTTATACAACTCCCCTCTTTGCTAATTCTCAGAATCCATACCCTTCTGTGAGTCCTTATGTAAATTACAACGACGAACCGCCAGCAATTCCACCACGTTTGCATCGTGATCTCTACCATGAACAACAAGAATATCAATCAGAAAATGTGAATACAAACAACAACAATAACAATAACAATAATAGTTATATCCACTATGGATATCCACCGCCACCATCAACAAATGGATTTCGATCGACAAATCATCATTTGATGCCATCCGATTCGTTTCATCAATATCAAGAAGAAGAATATTTACGCCATCGTGCTCAATCAACCTCGAGCACAACTTCATCCGATAGTATGAATCAAATACGTTTGATACAACAACGATTACCACCCACATCTCCTCGGACAAATCCACAACAGAATAAAAAGAATTCACCAGATCACTCGCAAGCGCCATCAGGTTAGTAGCTGAGAAAGACTTTCCATTTGAATATCTTGTCATCTACAGGTCGAACAACGCCAAGCAACGGCAGTCAACCAGGCGATTCAGTATTTCAGCGTCTTTCTCATACATCAACGAAATCGTCCTTGTCCAAGTCAAGTTCTAATCTATGCGCAAACATACTAAACAAAACTATTCATTCACCAGAACAACAGAATCAAATCAAATCAAGTCAGTTAAAAGCCCATGAAATCGATCTCGATGATTCGATAATCACGGAAAACAACCAAGTATCAGTCACATCGCCAACAAGTAATTTAAGTAAATGTCAACGTTCAAGATCGGTCGATGGTCGTGCACGACTGAAAAGTGCACAAAACCGTATACAAAACGCCAATCGTTCAACGAATAACGATGACGATGATCATCATCACCCGCCCCCGATTCCATCATCAAAATTTACATCTGTTCAATCTCGTTACAATGCTCCACCACCACGTGTTCCATCAGCACCGCGATACGCCCATTCGGATCGACCAGCCATAACGAAACGGTTACCTAACGGACATCATCCGACCCAGGCCAGGCATAGCAATGGAGTTCGAACACGGAATAACCAGGGAAACTTAGTTGATACAGAAAATGATGAAAACTTAGCTAGTAATGATAATTATCAGCCGAAAATTGTCGATAATAAAATACGGCCATCAGCTTCAGGTCATCGATACGGTACTAACAATAGTATTCAAACATCAGCATCAACGTCTTCTGTCACGGCTGCGATGTCTCGAACAAAAGCGCCTGTGTCCACATCAGCAAATCTCTATCGAAGGGATTTAAACGCATCTGGAACTGATTTAAACAGGTCAGACGAAAAACTTTGACATTTCTCAAAATTTATTTACATTTGATTTTCAGATCATCAAAACGTACCGATGATCAACGACTTCTATCTCCTCCTACTCAACGTCGACAGATCCCAGTATCTGTTTTTTCACCAGCAAAAAATGAAACAAAACGACCGGCACCCGCTCAGTCTTCATCGACCACGCCAATCAATGAACCCGTCTCAACTTGCAATGGTGAATCTCACGAAGAAGAAGAACAACAACAACAACCACCATCCCAATCGCCAACAGGCGAAAATAGTTATACTACACTAAACAATGAAAATGAAATGAATAAGAAGATTTCAAGCACAAGTTTGAAATCATCAACAGAAAACATCTTGAGTGAACTTGCCTTTTCTAACGACAGACACGACACAAGCAAAAAGATGAACGTTTTCGAACGACTCTTTCGCGGTCATAAAAAGAAAGTTTAGTTTTCGACCCTTATCATTCATTCATTCATTCTCTCTCTCTCTCTCTCTCTCTCTCTCTCTCTCTCTCTCTCTCTCTCTCTCTCTCTCTCTCTCTTTTACTCGTATAAAAACAATAATAACAATAATTCTATCAGCGCATTATTATCTCCGTCCCCGAGAATGACTGATAATTAATTTATATGCGCACGGGAATTATTCAACCGGTTGTAAAATACTTTGTTTCATAGGATGGATTTTCTCCTGGAAAAAGAAGTTCTTCTTTAGTTTGCTGCTTTTTTTGTTTATTTAGCCTTTGGAATTTAATTTGCGTCTTTTCTCTTTCTCTCTCTATCATGGTCAGGTTTTTTCTCATCGTTCATTTCAACTTTGTGTTATTTTTGTATGTGAAAACAAAAGAGATGTCTTTTGATTGATATTTAGATTAATAAATAGATCGCATTGGACGGCTAGTGATTTCATTTACCTTTCATCTTCTTTCCACATATCAAAAGCTAGAAGCGTTCTGATTAGCAGTTGAAACATGCAAGTTATTTTTATAGACCTATTTCAATCTTTCAAAATGCCATTATATTACTATTGCGTTGTTTCAGCTTAAAAGGATTTTTATTAGTTAAATTTAGTTTCTACTCTCCACTAGAAACGTCTTGTTTGTTTCCGAGAATATCTTACAGAGAGACATTTTACTTTCAAGAATGACTTGACAAGTGCAATTAAACATAACTACGCACTCTGCAGTCTGATTGAATGAGTGTTGAACATTTAATGGAACACAGAGACGTTCACTTTTCGAACTCGATATTCCGAGCCGAGAAGTATTTTAATCGAGCCAGCAAAACATTCGAATTGTTCTTCCTACGAAACATATATCAAATGATACAAATACTATTTGACCGCTGGGAAATTCTCTCACGTTCGTCGAAGAATGGCAATATACAATTCTGAAATAATTATGAGAATAACGACAACGATATTGTCAATAATTAAACCCTACAGACATACGGAGCTACGGCCTTTTAGTTTTCATTTCCTCTAAAAGAAATTTGATTAATTACGATAGACGAAATCAATATTCGCCTATATTAAAAATAAATGCTGAAAAACAGGAAAAATAGAACACTTCGTTAGGAAATTGAGACTCACTCTAGAAAGCGATCCATTGCAGCAAACGTTCCCAACCAGTAAATTTGCACCAATATGTTTCAAATAAAAAATAGCCACACACGCTGACCAAACTTCTAACAACTTCTTTCTTAATTAGAAAAAAATGTTTTCAATAATAACACGCAGACTTTATTTATATCTCGAATTTAAAAAGATTCCATTTTTAATTTACTGGCTCCTCAATCTATGCACGTATATCGTCGTTCTATTTTTCCGTCTGAATTTCCGTCAATGATGAATAATTTCATAGAAAAAATAAGTATCGACGACGGGTTGAAGTGTACGCGTATGGGTTAATATAGTGTTCAACATGCTGTATTCTAAACGTCCTTCAGTACAAATCTACATATGCATACGGGTAAGGATGATCGATTAAGGTTCGAGGTATTTGATTCAAAAAGAAAGAGTGCATATTAGTCTTGCTGATTTACTGAAAGATTTCTACGCAGACAATTTTGAATAGGTCAGGCACATTAACGTATTTTCCATTAAACAGCTGTTTTCTCTTTCTTTTTTTCCACATATGACCTCGATAATGCATATTACAATTGGATGCGTGACTTTTAGACGTGTTTTATATATATATATATATATATTCATCTCTCTCTACATACATGATGCATATATATATTTAGGCTCGTCTGTCGAGGTAGTAATAGATGTTGTGTTAGTATAATAAAAGAGATCGTAGTGCAATCGCTCGAGGGAATGTGAACAGAAAAAAGGTGAAGAAACAATGATGTATGACTCATGTCGGTCGTGATGGCTTGGCACATCGCCATCAGCTGTCTCGGTTTTTATTGTATACATTTCTTCGTCGATATATTGCTTACATAATCGAACTTATTTAATTATCTATTATCTAAGAAATGTTTTCTTATGTTATATTTGTTTCTTTCTTCCTCTATTACTGTCATTGTTGTCTTGTCGTCAATGCAATCAATGACCTAAATACGATTATGCAGACATGCCATCCTTGTCTTCCGTTTTTTTTTCTTCGTCCTCGTCGACGTCGCTTTCTACATACTTTGAAAAGCAGCAGTAGCAGACTTGCTCGACGTCGTATTCGACCATAAGGTCGCATAGCAAAGCGCGAGAGAAGGAGAGAAAGAAAGAATAGAAAAAGAGAAAGAGATGAAAACGAAGAAAAGGAAAAAAACAAGCGCGCTTTTGCTTCGTATGCGAGAGCTGTCGGGCACGCATATGCGAATAGAAAAAAAAATGCGAATAAGGGTGCGCAACTGATGGTGGGAGGGAGTATGTGTGTAAGTGTAGGGATGAAGCGGGCAACGTAGAAGGGAAAAAAAAGAAGAAGGACATGAAACAGACCAAAAGTGCGCTGTATGTTCGCACACTGTGATCATCACTACCAAGCACACACACGTGTGTTGTTCGAGACGGACTTTTTTTTCTTTTTTCATTCTCTTTCTTACATATTTACTGACGTTGAGTTCACACATTGTATGTTATTTGTGTCTTTTTTCAGAACATTCAAATCATATTCGATTTCGACAAATAATTATATTTCTTCCTTTCAAATTCATGTTATTTTATTATCGTTTATCGAGTTCGATTACCTACGATTATTATTAAACGTACTTCTTNCAACAATACATTGACCTAACGTTTAATCAAAGTTCATTCCAATCGTTTTTTTTTTTATTTTCGCAGATCGAGAACACACACCTAAAATTTCATTACGAAAGAATTTTTGTCAGTGTTTTGAATCACTCAAATATATCAAACACTAACGATAAAGATATTTCATCAATGCATCAACCAGCAAATACATCACCACAATCAACAAATCAGACTTTATCTGACCGTAATATGGATACATCATCAACATCTAATGGTGGAATTAACTATGGTATTTTCTCATTTGCTCGTTCTATTTTCGTTTCGTAAACTCGGATTTCCTTCTAGGACATCCAAATCCATCATCGACCGGTCAATCACATCACTATCATTCATCGTCCTCGTCATCCCATCCCAGTTCACTTCAATCTTCAACAACAGGTAATTATGCTCAACTGTCAAATGGAAGTGATAATAGTTCCCATTCATCCTATACGAATAATTCGAATCATATAGCAGGTTTGATCAAATCCTCGATAGAACAAAAGAAAATAAAACACGTCAGGTCCTATTTTTTCTTCTCGCCTTCTTAGTTCCCAAACATGAACCAATGGATTACGATTCAAGCAATAGTACTCATCATCATCCTCATCTTCATCCACATTATGCACGAAATCTAACGCCAAACTCTTTATCCGTCCAAACCGGTTCATCAAATAACAATATCAATAATAACAATAATAATAATAATAATGGTTTAATTGTCAATGGTTCTATTGAAATTCCATCAAATCGAGTTACAGTTCTACGTGGCCATGAATCGGAAGTGTTCATTTGTGCGTGGAATCCTACACATGATCTCTTGGCATCTGGCTCAGGCGATTCTACAGCACGCATATGGAATTTACAAGGTACACGTGAACCTGAAATAATCTTACGACATTGTATACGACGCGGTGATACACAAGTACCGAGTAATAAAGATGTCACGAGTTTAGATTGGAATGTAAGTTGTACAACTAGGAGATTTTCTGTTTCATTATTTTGCCGTGATCTTTTATAGCCGTCTGGTACACAGTTAGCGACGGGTAGTTACGATGGCTATGCACGTATATGGTCATCCGATGGAAATCTAGTTAGTACGCTCGGTCAACATAAAGGACCCATATTTGCATTAAAATGGAATAAGAAAGGCAACTATATCTTATCGGCTGGCGTCGATCGTACAACAATCATATGGGATGCTAATTCTGGTCATTGTGAACAACAGTTTTCATTTCATACAGCACCAGCATTAGATGTCGACTGGCAATCAGATACAACATTCGCATCTTGTTCGACAGATCAAAAGATTCATGTTTGTCGTCTGAATGAATTACGACCTGTTAAAACATTCCACGGACATCAAAACGAAGTCAATGCCATTAAATGGGATCCACAAGGACGACTGTTAGCCTCATGTTCAGATGATATGACATTAAAAGTAAATATTTTCATAAAACATCTCCACAAGTTCATCAAATTTGTTTTAGATTTGGAATATGACAAAAGATACACCTGTTCACAATTTGCAAGCACATAATAAAGAAATTTACACGATTAAATGGAGTCCAACTGGTCCAGGAACTATGAATCCAAATGCCACATTACTTTTAGCCAGGTTCGTCCCATTATCCAATGATCATAAACATCGAATCTAAAACTTCGCTTTAATTATTTATTTGTAGTGCTTCGTTTGATTCGACTGTGCGTTTATGGGATGTTGAACGTGGTATTTGTCAGAATACGCTTGTGAAACATTCCGAACCAGTCTATTCAGTATCATTCAGTCCTGATGGACGTCTATTAGCTACTGGTTCATTTGATAAAACCATATATATCTGGGATATTGCAGTAAGTAATCTGGATGAAGAGATTTCCTGTTTGAATTTAACGTTTTTGATTTGTTTAGCGTGCAGAAATTGTTCATAGTTATCGAGGTACTGGTGGTATTTTTGAAGTTTGCTGGAACAGTCGTGGCACTCGGGTCGGTGCAAGTGCTTCTGACGGAACAGTGAGTTTCATTTGAATGATTTGAAACATTGACAAAAATTCTTTCGTAATGCTATTTTAGGTGTGTGTTCTCGATCTGCGAAAATAAAAAAAAACGATTGGAATGAACTTTGATTAAACGTTAGGTCAATGTATTGTTGTTTCTCTCTTTCTCTTTTCTTTCTTGTTCGTTTATACAAAACGCGAAATACTCGTATTGTTGTTATCTGTTGTTGTTTTTTACTACCATCATCATCATCATCATCATCCCTCCTTTCAAAGACGATCTCACAGAAGGAAAACATTCAAACTAAACATATGTTAATCTTTTTTCTGTCTCTCTCTTTCGCTCCTTTTTGTTCATCTTCTTGCACATGTGTATTTTTCTTCTCTTGTTTTTTTTTCTTTTTCCCTGGATTCAGTCTATGTTGGACTTCTTCTTTCTTTCTCTCTCTCTCCCTTTCTTCTTTCGAAAAAAAAACGTCAAAGCAGTGATATGTATGTGTGTGTGTGTGCGAGTGTCTGACTTTATTTCTCTCGGTTTTTACATGCGCTTGTACGTGTGTGTGATGATGAGCTCGTGTTCCATTATAAATATTTCATACGAGCACACAGATGATGACAAAGAGACAAAAAAAAGCAAAAGATGTGAACTTTGTAATTATGTTGTTTTCTTTTTTTTCTCTAAGAAATCGATTCGAGGAAGACAAACCTATCGTGCTTATTTTCAAGCGGAATCTTGGTCTATTTGTTTCTTTCTTTCGTGAGAGCAAATTCTTTGTATTAATATTCATCAGGTGAAACGATTTGCTAGTCAGTAGCGTCGAAGAACAGGTTTTTTTCTCGTATATTTTGTAAGAACTAAATGAGTAGAATACGACAGCATATGAAAGCATGATTTTACAAAATTTTGATGAAGTATATATATATATAATACCACAGTTTTCATTTGCACTGTTCCAGCTTTTGAGTCACTTCCGTTTGCATGGCTTTATCAGCTCTTTTACAATTTTCACTATCTAAGTTCTCCTTTGCTTTGGTGAATTTTTCTTTGGCGCCCTTATGATCACCTTTGCCTAAAAGTGCATTACCCCAATCTATATTTGACTGAGCAACGTCGATGGCCAGTCGTGGTATTAAATGTACAGTATCATCGTTGCAAACGACTCGCACTTTAGGATATGCAGCTGCCCATGGTATGTGGAAAGAAAGATCGGAGCAAAACACATAAATGGCATAAACGTTTGGTAAATTATGCACTTTAGGTACAATCTCTTTTCCCAATCCACCTGATACCACCAGGAACACTCGTCTTCTCGTACATTTTTTTCGAATATATTCCTCACAACGATCGGTTTGAGTTTCACACATTTCCCATTCAAATGTGCCAGTAATTGTTTCATAAATGTCACGCATTTCAAGAATTAAACCAAGAAGTGTAACGAATTTGAATCCTGTGAACTTATCTAAATCAGTGATCGCTTGCGGTGGCAATGGTTTTATTGGCGATCTATTCAATTTGTCGTTATATTCTTTAATTTGTTCTCGTGTGGCTTGTACTGTTGACGAAGCTGCAGAGATGGCAACGGTTGCAGGCTGTGCACTAGTTGCTGATGCAGCCTGAGGGGCAGGTGCTGTTGTAGGCTGAGCGGCAGGTGTTGCTGTAGGCTGAGCAGCAGGTGTTGCTGTAGACTGAGCGGCAGGTGTTTCTGTAGGCTGAGCGGCAGGTGTTGCTGTAGTCTGTGTGTTAGGCTCTCGGGAAGTCGGAGTGTTGTATGCTGACGCAGACATTTGTGGCCGTGGTGAATAGCCAGGTGCAGTTGCAGCTGTAAACTGAGCCAGCTGATGAGGCGATGCTATGGTAGGTGGCATTGGTTCTGGTCGTAATTTAATAGGACGCGGACCACTGGGTTTCAGCGGATTCGATTCGTCTGACATGGTTTTTACGATATTTGTGGAAAAGAAATTTCTACAGTAGAAATACAAGAAGCAGTAAATCGAATTACCCTCTCTGTCCTTTTATTTACGTGCGTTGTGATAGAGACAGTATATTATCTTTGTGTACTTTTGCTTTTGTCGAACTATGCTGGAAAAAACCAACTTATTGAAGGCAGTACAGAACGCAAAAATGTTTTTTCTCTCATTCAGTTCTAAAAACAAAAAAACGAGAGACAAAAATGGTAGCCATACGTATTTAATTCCCACCAATAAATAAAACTCTAGATTTAGTTTTCAACTGACCTGCATTTTTGTAGAAAAAAAAAACAGAAATGCAAACTAGAAAGAAGATCTCCGTTAAATCATTTGCATTATCTGGATTATTTGATCTCCATTGTCCATGATATACCTAACTGCTTTAAATGTAGCTCGCTCTACATTTCTAGTAAAAAGCATGATGACCGATTAAAAGTCTTTCGTATCAGTCGGAAAAACCGATTCTCGTCCCTATATGTTAGTTTTGCTCAATCGCATCAGCGCCATCTGTTGAGAAAGTTTTTACATTACTGGATCAAGAATTTACCTATCTCGACGTCTACCTTGATGGATATTTAAATATTTACGTTAGTTGAGGATCGAAGTATTTATCGCGTTAGCTGTCGCTCTGTGTGGCAAATAGAACTTCATCCAATGAAAAGATGAGCTTATTTTGTCACTCATTCTTTGAAAGAAAAAAAAACAAACATCTCGGTATTACACGTCAATATTTTTTTACTTCAAGCGCTGATAGATAAGTGTACACGTTGGTGGTAAATTCCAACATGCCGCGGTCATACTCACGTTCGCGTTCTCGCTCCAATTCATCGAGTGTGTCACCCGACCGTCGTTCACGCTCACCAGCTCGTAATAATGATCAAGACGGTGACGATAGTGATAACTGTCGATTACATGTTGCTGATCTCTCTTCGAGATGTACAAAACGTGAAGTCGAAAAAGCGTTCGAGAAGTGGCCCTTAGTTGAAGTTTGGCATGCACAAGCGTCGTGTTTTGCTTTTGTTGTGCTGCGTAATCGGGAAGATGTCCGAAAAGCAATTGACGAGTTAGACGGACGGTAAAAGATTTTCACTGGGAAAAAAGCGTTCGTTTAGAAAGATGACGTATTCGTTTAGATTCATTGGTAACGCACGTGTTCGTGTTACTTTAGCTCGACCGCGCATTCGCGCAAGTGGCGGTAGTAATGGTGGTAGACGATACTTTGACGCAAATAAGTAAGAATTGAAAGATTGGTTTCTAAGAAAAGTCTTGTTTATTATATCAGACGGTGTTATCAATGCGGTGCCCGAGGTCATTTTAGTCGTGATTGTGGTAATGAACAACGAAGCAACAGAAGGTCTGACAATGAATACCGGTGAGTTTTCTGATAAATGGAGTGGCCGAACCAATGATTTGGAGGGAAGTAAAATATAAATATACGTAAAAATGTCACACTGGGATCATCAAAACGGTCTTGGATGGATTGAAAATTTAAGATGAGATGGTTGGTTTCGAATTTGACACAAATCTCAGGTAAATTGTTGAGAAAAACTTCTTGTGAATGAATAGATATAGAAAGATCGTAGATTTTTAAGAAAGCTTGCCAAAAATTGACTAATCTACTTTATTTAGATCTCGTACTCGTAAGGACGAGCATCGACGTGAACGATCGTATTCTCGATCGCGGTAGGTCCAATTTCAATATTATCAGGTAATTCACACCTATTTATCTCCATCAACTTTAGTTCTCGATCGCCTCGTCCGCGCGTTGTCGGAGAAAATCGTCGTTACAGGTAATTAATAGTTTCATGGCAAACAATCAATTGATGTCTCTCATCATTAAGTCCTCGCCGATCACCACCAAGCTCTAGTTATAAAGCACGTGAAAACGGCTCTGGTTACTATTCCAGGTATACCATATTTGCTCTGTGATTCGCCGCAAAATCTGGTTTTCCTTCTAGTCCACCACGAACGAAATAACTGCGAGTGCATAACATGCTGATTCGAACACACATATACAGCAGACATTGTATTTCACTCTGTTTTCTTGTACTTGATCGCTTAGCGTTCTTCTTGTTGTTCAATGTATATCATTTCTTGAATTATCTCTTCATCTGTTGTTTTGTATTTTTCATTTCAACTTTGTGCTTCTGTTCTACGATTGCCTTTGTTCAATAACGTGAAGCAATTCAATTCTAATCAATAAGCTCTTGTTTTATTTTAGTATCTCATTGAATTGTTTCTTCCTTCTTCTATTCAATATGCCTCGCCCACGGTCCCGATCACGATCACACACACGATCGCGTAGTGCAACACCTTCGTCACGACGATCCGGTTCACCATCGTCAGAATTTGATAGCCGAGGCGATCGACCAAACGAATATCGCGTTCACATTGCTGAATTACCAAAGGGTGCACAAGAAGGCGAAATACGGAAAGTCTTTCAACGTTTCGGCACATTAGTCGATGTTTGGGCTGCTAGTGCATCATGTTTCGCCTTCGTTACGTATAAAAACAAAGAAGAAGCACAAAATGCCATCGAACAAATGGATGGAAGGTATGCTATACAATAAAACTATCTACATAGTTTAAACGAACAATGATAAAACTGACACAAATATTCTCATTGGATTAAGATCATTCGGAGATGCTCGTGTACGAGTGACGTGGGCACGACCACGAGCGCGACATCGTTCTCGACGTTACGATCCCAATATGAAATGTTTCAAATGTGGACAACACGGACATTTTGGGTAGGAAATCCCGATCACGGTATTTATAGAATATCTATTAAATTAATTCTCGTAGTCGAAATTGTGATGGCGTCGCAAGTGACTCACGTTCATCACGCCGTCGAGATGATAACTATAGTCGGCGCTCGTCACCTCCCAGACACAGTCGTCGTTCAAGGTATGAATGGTTGCTAATTTTGCATGCCAGGGTGTGCGTACATATGTGTACTTGGTATATATGTGCATAATATCTTTTGGGATGTATAACACACAAAGCAAATTTTGGAGATAGATATCCTAGAATAACTGATAGAAAGAAAAGTCTTAGAGAAGAAAAGCATTTTCCTTGGAAATTGGTTGTTGTCGTGGATGAAATTAACGATTGGATAAAGAGAAATACTTATAAATTTATTTATAAATGGATTTGGATTTGGTTCATGTGGAACTTTAGGTCTCGTTCACCACGTCCATCAGATGGTTTGCTAGTTCCAGCTTATTTTCGTCATGGTATGCCAGTTTATCCGTCATATTCTCGACGAAGCGATGATCACTCAGGAAGTTACTATCCTTCATCGGACCGATCTAACGGACACGATCGACGGTATCGAGACCGAGGAACACGTCTTACACCACCGTCAACGAGTGCCAGATACAATCGAAGGTAAGAAAACAACACACGTTCAATGTGCAGGTAGACAAAGCGTTTTTTCAATTACTTCGTAGATAATCAATGTCATTAACATGGAAAATACCTACTCGTAAGTGCCAATTATGGTTTCAATTTTCCGACTGATCTTTTTTGATGAATTCTAGATAAAGTAGAGGACATCATTGCTAACCGTGATATTTGTTATGTTTTATAATCTAGAACAAAACTATTCGCTTTTTTTTCTTGTTTCAGTATACTCATTGTTAGATAGTGACACCTCTTGAACATCTCTTCTACCTCAGTCTTAGTCTTTCTCTTTGATTGGACACAGAGTGTGAGACACGCAGAGGAAAAAAGCAATAAAGAGGGTTCTCGTTAGGTTGATCTAACACTCATAATCTTATTTGTTTCTTTTTGTTCGTGGTTATTTGTATTGTAATTCTTTCTTTTCTCTCTCTCTCTTTCGAACGTAGTATTCTTTGCATTCGACATATATATGTATCAGCTACCTTAATCGAGAGTTTCTTTTCTTTGTTCGAAATTTCGACTTATTAAATGTTGATGTCTTTCACAACTTATGAACCCAATTCTGATGTTCTCTCAATCAGAAAGCAACAATTAACCATACACACCGCAGTGTTCATTAAATCGATATCGATCTCAGTTTCTTTTTTGTGATATGACATTTGTATTTTATTTCGGAAATTTTCTGTTACGTTTGTGTGCAAATTTACGTGTATCGTATTTATATCCATTGACTCAACAAAAACGAATTGAATAAAAAAAAACACAAAGTTACATCAACAATGATATGTAACAAATGTTGTTTTTTACGAATTATTTAGATAGATTTATCATGTCGGCAAGTACAGAAGCCAGTGCAATAATAGATTTTTTCAAAAGAAAATCAATCTTTATTACTGGTGCGACAGGGTAAGAAGAACATGTAGGCTTTCTCTTGCCATTCATATTAAATCCTTCAGATTTATTGGGAAACAACTCGTAGAAAAACTCGTTCGATCATGTCCTGGTAAGCATAGATCGTATGAATGTTTATTCTTATGTAATTACTCTTTCCCGTTTAGACGTTGAGCATATCTATCTGCTTGTTCGACCAAAACGTGGTCATGCTGTGAATGATCGATTGAAAGACTTATTCACAAGCCCTGTAAGCTCGAGACGGTCAAAACGAATGGTATATTTTTACTTTCGTCCTAGTTATTCAACACTGTACGAGAGATGTATCCTAATTTCGAAGAGAAGATATCTGCTGTACAAGGCGATATTCTCGATCCGAACTTTGGTCTTAGTCCAGCTGATGAAACACTATTAATCGAACAATGTCATATTGTATTTCATTCAGCAGCAACTGTTCGTTTTCATGAACCACTTCGGTAGGATACATCGTTTAGAGCATCCGAAAAGAAAACTCTTCAATGTTCTTACCAGACTTGCCATACAAATGAATGTTGCATCAATCAAGAAATTGCTTGCTCTCTGTCATAAAATGAAGAAATTACAAGTACACAGCATTATTCTCGTTTATAAGAATGATAAATTCATTGAATTTTGTTTTCTCTCGCAGTCGATCGTTCACGTATCTACAGCATATGCAAATTGTAATCGAAGTGACGTCGCTGAAATGATCTATCCACCACCTATTCAACCAGCGAAGTTGTTAGATGCTAGTGAATGGATGGACGATCAAGTCTTTGATGTCTTGACAAATAAAATCATCAACGATCGACCGAATACATACACATTTACGAAAGCATTAGCTGAATATGTCATCTCGCAAGAAGCTCGAGATCTTCCATTAGCGATCATACGTCCTTCCATCGTTGGCTCGTCATGGCGTGAACCAATAGCTGTAATTTCGAGAGAAAAAAAACAAGAAAGATTTGACATTTTACTATACTTCTGCGTAGGGTTGGATTGATAACTACAATGGACCAAGTGGATTAGTCGTTGCCGTATGGTCAATATACCTATTGATATAATTAGAGTAGTTTCCTTCGACAATTTTAGACAGGCAAAGGCATGCTTCGAGCTATGCTTGGCAGTAGCACAGCCATAGCTGATATCGTACCGGTTGATGTATGTGTGAACATGATGATTGCAATTGCTTGGCACACAGCAATAAAACAGTACGAAGATACCTATCACCGTTCAAAGGTGACGTACCTATTCAATCTTCTGGTACTTCTAGCCCGAAAAACATCCCGGTTTATCATTGCTGTACTGGTCATTTGGGTACTTTGACATGGGGTAAAGTTACCGAATACGGTTTACATCATCTATATAACATCAGTTTGGAAAACGCTATTTGTTATCCCTATTTGCAGTTTACTGAGAATCGGTATGTCGTGGAAAGCTCAAAATTGAAATGCACAAACTTTGTTTTTTATCAAACTAGATTTCGGTATCATTATCTTCGAACATTACAAGAAGTTGTTCCGGCGTTTATTCTTGACTGTTACATGCGTATCATTGGTCGTAAGCCGATGTAAAAAGAAACTCCTGTTATATTATCCTCTTTGTTAATCGATTGAGATGTTTTTTAGGTTTTTAAAATTGTCCGACAAGATTTACAAAAGCGTTCGAACATTAGACTTTTTTACTTCAAATTCGTGGATATTTCCCAATGATAACAGTGTTCTTCTGCAAAATGAAATGAGCGACATCGATCAAAAAGTAAACCTTTATTCCTATTCATTATTATCAAGTAACGTCTTTCATTTTCTAAACAGATTTTCAATTTCGATCTCAAAGAACTCGACTGGTTTCAATATTGGCGTCACTACTGTACCGGTGCAAAACAATTCTTACTTCGAGAAGACCTTGCACGAACAGCTAAATGTCGTACAAGATATTTACGGTAACCGAAATCCGAGCTATGCAATAAACTTATTTCTCTGCTCTGATTTTAGGCTAAAACGTATTCAAAATATTCTCTATTTTACTACAATCGCTCTGGTTATAAAGCTAGTCTTTTTCAAATCATTTAAAATTCGTGGAATATTTCTCGCAATCTTTCGACTATTTTTTGCTGCTTTATCATCACTAGTAGCAAAACTCGGTCTTCGAGGCAAATAATATAGGCAAAAAAACAAAGATAAACTTCTGGAAGCAATAGTGTTGTTTTGTGGACTTTTTAAGAAAAAAAACAAAAGATCAATAAAAGAAAAAGGAATGAACGGAACGGAAGAAATTCAGATGATTTTATTGATGAGAAAATTTTGTTGTTTGGTTCGATCAATGATTCTGTTTCTGCTGGACACGTTGGTGACAAGTGGTGCCCTCTATTCATTGAGCACAGTCGACTATAGGAGGATTTGCCACGGCAACGTGATTTCAGCTGAAGAATAGAGTTCTTCTTCTTTTCTTTCATTTGTCTTGCAAACTAGAATCTACCTGATTGTATACAATGCGTCTCAAACGTTTTCTTCTTCGATATTACCCACCAGGTACATTCGTGAGCCTTTTCAATAGTACAACGACTGTGATTTATTCCATTGCAGGAATTATTCTTGAATATGAGCAGAGTAATGTTTTGAAAACAAAATCAATTGATTTACTTGATTTGAAAGCTGAGTAAGAAAACTATGTGTGATCATTTTGACGCATTTCATTTGCTCTTTTGTTCCAGTACTGATGTGAATAGTGTGGTGGAGGAAATTGTCAAGAAAGAACCATTAATTACGGCAGCGAAAGTTGATAAAGTCAAAGAATTAATCGAAAGTAAATCTTTCGATTGATTAATATTCAATTATAATGTTCGGCGATATTTTTAAGGACTACAAGAGAAAATCTCTCAACAAGATGATAAACGCTTTTATTTATTCAAAGTACTTCGTGCTCATATACTTCCATCAACTTATGTTGCATTCAACAAATCCGGTTCAACGTATGATTGAGAGAAATGGTCTTTCTATACTTGTGACTTGTTTTTACTTTAGATTCATCACTGCTTCATATGATCGAACATGTAAAGTATGGGATACGGCATCAGGCGAAGAGTTGCATACACTTGAAGGACACAAAAATGTTGTCTATGCTATCGCATTTAATAATCCATTTGGGTATGTTGATTTTGTTGAGCAACTTTCTTTGGAAACTGCTGAGTATACTTTTTTTTTCTAGCGATAAGATAGCGACTGGATCATTTGATAAAACAGCTTGTATATGGAGTACGGAACGCGGTACATGTTATCACACACTTCGAGGTCATACTGGTGAAGTCGTACGTATAGAATATGTTGTCTGACAATGCTAGTAACTAACTATTTGATGTTAGGTCTGTCTAGCATTCAATCCTCAAAGTACAGTTCTAGTGACTGGAAGCATGGATCATACAGCTAAATTATGGGATATTGTTTCTGGCACGGAAATCGCGAGTTTACATGTATGCTATTTGAATGAAAGTGTCTTTGTCTGTTTGAGAGAAATTTCCGAATGAATTTCAGGGTCATACGGGTGAAATTATATCTGTGAGTTTTAATACACGTGGCGATCAAGTCATTACAGCTTCATTTGATCGAACTGTAGCCATATGGGATGTTCGCACTGGAGAGTAAGAATAAAAACGGCCTATTCAAACTATTCTTATTCATCTTTGTAGCAAAATTCATACACTAATTGGACATACGGCTGAAGTTAGCAGTGCTCAGTTTAATTGGGATTGTAGTCGAATTGTAACTGGTAGTATGGATAAAACATGTAAATTATGGGATACATTATCTGGTAGATATAACAAGACTTGAGTTATCTAGTCTTCGATTGTTTTTTTTTTCATTCTTAGGCGAATGTGTAGCAACGTTAAGAGGACATGATGATGAGGTACTGGACGTGGTTTTCGATTCTACCGGTCAATATATAGCAACAGCATCAGCAGATAAAACTGGACGTGTCTATGATGCATTGAGTCATATGTGTATAGCAACATTGATTGGACATCAAGCTGAAATATCTAAGGTAGGAATGAATTCCACTCATCATTGATTTTGAAAAATCATCTACGTGCATTTCTACCTTAGATTTCGTTCAATCCTCAAGGCAATCGGTTGATCACAGCAAGTAAGATCATGCTGTAGATAAGTACATTTGAATGCTCATGTATTATTGTGCTAAGGTGCGGATAAAACTGCTCGTATATGGGATCCACTGACCGGCGAATGTAAACAAATACTCGAAGGACATACTGATGAAATCTTTAGTTGCGCTTTCAACTACGAAGGAAATACGATTATAACAGGTATGTACGAAAAATTGCGAATATATTTAAAAACTATCTTGTTCGATTGTCTTCATTTCCTAGGCAGTAAAGATAATACTTGTCGAATTTGGCGATAGAGAAGTGATACTATTATGGTTCCTTTTACTTTTCGTTTTGTGTGATTCACTTATTCTCATTTTTCTTTTCTCTCTATCCGATTGTTTGTTTTGCAATATCTGTGTTTTATGAAAGAGAAAAAAAATACTATGTATAATCAATATTCACGATCCTTTTCTCTTCTAGATTATAATCTTGACTATTGAAAAATGTCTCGAGTTACTCGTCCTTCGGTACCATCGTCTACGCGACGACCACAAGCGTCCACAACTAGACCTCCTCACAGACCCACTATTCCTACATCAACAGCCAACCGATCAACGACGCGCGGCACTCGGCTATCAGCACGTGCTGGAACAATGCACAATCAATTATCACGACAGCAAAGATCAGATAATGATCCATATCATGAATCTGTCGGGAAACCACAGCAACCAGAGCGTACAGTACATACTGGGTATGACGCTTTCACGTTTCAATTATGTTAGTCAATGAAAAATTGAGTGATCGCATCGATATTGAGACGTACAATTGTTTCTTGAACTGAGAGTTTTAAAAAGTTTTCGCCTTAGATGGTTCAGAGTGTTAACTTTGAGTTTTTTAGTGGCGGCTATCAAATGTTTACCCCGTCAGCAGAAAAGCGTGAGCAAATGAGATTACAAGCTGAAAAGGAACAGCGTCAATACGAAGCGCATGTGGAACGATCACGCATGCATCAGATTCACGAAGTACATCGACTAGGTAGGAGTTAATCAATATTCAGACAGCAATTTTCTTTGGTTGTGAAGGTGGTGACAGGTTGAGTGAAGAAGAAGCTCGTCGACGACAAGCAGAAAAGTATCGACTAGAGAAGTTCACGCGCTCAGTAATATTCCAACTTTTGTTATCTGTATTCCCTTATGAATTTCTTCTAGGAAAAATTGCATGAAGAACAATCTCGGAAAAAACAAGAAGAAGAAAGAGAAATTGAAGCAAGAAAACAAGCAGCTCGTCTTCAAGTAAAATACCTTCCTATTGATTAAATCACCAACATCTATCTCAACATTTAGGCAATAGAAAATGAAAAACACGCTCGAGTCTCTCAACTACATTCGATGAGATCGTATTAGAATTGAGATATTGTCACACAATATCTGACTAATTATCTTTTCTAGAGAAAGCAATCAACAGGAACACGGAGCAACTGGGTGGACAGATGAAGCTCGCGAAGAAGATCGACGAGAGTAAAAACAAAAAACCAGTCAGGTCTCTTATGTTTCTTCTCTTTGTAGAACTATGGATCGGTTTCTAGATCGTTTCACTCAAAAATATGATAACATGACTATTTCATCACATAACAAATCTAGTAGATAGTCTTATTCTGATCTGCCAGACAACTTTCTTCGATTTTTTATAGATAGCAACGAAACAGGCGAAGAAAAGCTCGCTATTTTACGCGACATGCTTCCACATATTGATGATCAAACGCTGGAATACCATTTGGAGATCTACAATGGAAATATCGATGCGATTGTTGCGGAACTTCTGAATTAAATGTGACTTTGTGCAATAGTTTTGTACTTTTTCTATATCTCTCGACTCGATTTATTTTTGTTGACAATCAAAGTGTATCGAAATATAATTCGTAGAAACAATCTTTCATCGATCGAAATGGTTTCTCGTACCATCCGTGACGATGGAAACCCATGTATTGATCTTATGTTATATTTGACAAACTGTTTCCGGTTGAACAACAAATCGCGCTTTGGAAGCAAAGGTTTCTTTGGCATGATCATAACATGTTCGTAGACGAAAATCTAAATTATTTACTGGAGCATTCTTTTCACAATAATCAACCGAATGACGAAAGCTTGAACGAGTTGATGTTTGATAAAGACGTACCCAAACCGATCTCTTACTATTCTAGAGTATCAAATCAAAACATCACTTTGAATGAGTCTATGCAAAATACAATACATGATTACAGACGAATGGAAAACGTGATTCGCTCATGCTGGCAACTGAATTGAAATGGTTGCTGAGTAACGTTTGAATTATATTTTAGGCAAACGAGTCTAAGACTAAGAAATTTATTTTGAATTGTTAGGAAAAATGCACTGTAGTTCTTAAATTCGAACTTTTCTGGCAAGTAAGTACGCTCTTTGAAAATGCTGTACAAGCTTTTTATCTCCGATCAATTGGACAAGTTTAAATAGAGTCTCCGAATCGGCCAAAGAACCGCGCTTTTGTTTCCATATGCGCAAGAGAACATCGACTTTTTCTTCCCGCTTGACGTGATGGTAATTCTTTCGAAAATAAGCTATGTCAGCGTCCGACAAGTTCAATCTTATCAATAAACGTTCGAAATCATGCGTCGAAAGATGTTCCACAAGTATTCTTTTGTAGATTCGGAAGAGTTCATCCTCGTATTGATCATTGACTTGAACGAACATATGTGACGCTGCAGAACTCGATTTTCCTTCGAGAAAGTCACTCGGTGGAGCTAAGCACAATGCATTATCATCGATACGAAATGCATCGATTTGATAGAGTGTCGATGGAAACGAAGGGAAAAGATTTCCATTTAATTTCATCATTTTCAAATTTGTTAATTGTTGTAAGCGATTCGTGTCCAATGCAGTGAGAAGATTATCGCTCATATTGAGATATTCCAGTTTTGTTAAACTATAAACACATAGGGGTATCTCACGAAATATATTGTAAGATAAATCAAGCTTTTGTAGGTTGTATAAATGAACGAAATCATCCGATAGTTTGTCAATATGTATTCCATGCTGTTGGGAATAAATTAGACTGGTCAGTTGATCGAGATAGACCAATGAATCGGGGAATCGAGTGAATTTATTATTCGACAGATCAAGTGTTTGTAAATTCGTCATGTGCACGATTTCATCAGGGATGAATTCAACTAGATTATCATTCATATATAACTCGGAAAGTATTTCACCTGCAAATAATCGAAGAAGATGAGAATGAAACAAACTACAGTTGAAGTCTTACCGAGATACGTTCGATTGGTTGTTTCATCCATTTCGTATAAGCAAGTCGGAAACTTTTCAAACTTATTTTGACCTATGTTCAAAATTTTCAAGCATGTCAGTGTTCGGAAGTTTTTATCGAGTTCGGTCAAGCAATTGCCGGATAAATCTAAATAAGTCAACGCTTTTAATATTGTTAATTGGTGTAAATTCGTATGTAGATTATTGTACGATAAATCCAGGAAGTTTAATGTACGATAGAAATGTTTTTGAAAGTAACTAGTCGCGTTCAAATCATGTAAATTGGAATCATTGAATGTTACGTGATTTAAAGAAGGTAATTGAAAGAGAATTTCGGGAAATTTTCGTAATGGATTTGAGGAGATGTTCATGATTTGGAGCTGAGCACATTCCAGGAATTCTTTGGGGATATTGGTGACTTGATTGTGGTCTAAATCTAGTTGAATGAGGTGTTGCAAATGAACACAATCGGCCGAAGAGAGTTCAATTTGATTTGTCGATAAACGAAGAACTTCTAATTTGGCGTGAACGTCTTGTGGAATTTTCGATAGAGAATTCGAACTCAAATCAAGTAATTGCAATGATTTCATATGGGAGAGAAGAGAGAATACATTGGTCAATTGATTTGAGTGAAGGTATAGTTCTTCAAGCGAATCGAAGAATCGTTCGATTGGAGAGAGAAAGTCATTTGTCAGATGGTTTTTCGAAAGATCGAGTCGTTTTAATTGAGGGAATTGAGTGAAATAATCCAGTGTAATCTCGTTGATTTCATGTAGTTGGATATTTGATAGAGAAATATGTTGTAAATTCGAACAGGTGTATAAAAGAAGTGGAAATGTTTGTAAAGGATTGGAATTCATGTAAAAGTGTTTCAAATTCGGCAAGTTTTTGAATGTATCAATTGATTGAAACTGATTGAAAGACAAATTCAAGGTTTCTAAATGAATCAATCGAGTGAATGTATTTGGCAGAATTTTCAAACGATTATGATCGAGAAGTAAAACGCGTAATTGTCCCAGAGCTCCGATACTCGTCGGTAAAGTCATTAGATAATTATAAGAAAGATCTAATGTATGTAGAAAACGAAGATAGTGAATATTTGCCGGCACAGTTTTGATGTGATTGAAAGATAAATTGATGATTTGAAGAAATGGATGTACCAGCGGACGCGATGACTAAACAAAACGGAGATTGATTGACTGAAAATAGATTTTAAGTATTCACTTTCGGTTTATCATTCTCAGATGCTTCTGTTCGGTATAGAATCCATTCGATAGTATTCAATTCGTTATGACTGCCATTCAATTCAATCAAATTCGTGTAATCGGACACGAAATTCGGCATTTGGATCAAGTAATTTCCTGCTACTGAGATTCCGGTAACACTTTCCGGATTTGATATCGACTCGATGATGTATTTCTGTCGTAAACATCGATGAAGATTAAGATAGTTTACCTGTTGATTTTCAACTTGCCGAATCGATAAATAACTATCCAATGACACGGTATTCATAGCTTTTCTATGTGAATTTCTCTTTCGAATGTCTGAAAAGCAAGTTGTTGTTATTTTATATCTGATTTTCAATTCAATTGAAGAAACCTTATTGATTTTTCGCGCATTGATTTACTTTTCTTTTATGAAATCTAATCAGAAAACAAAGCAACCAATCTCCATGAGAATATTTCACCTTAGTAGAGCGTAATAATATCCCAAACCATACTTCAATTTCCACATTGTTGAATCAAAGAAAGCATTGACAATGTTCTTGTCTTCGCAATTATTTTCAAGAGAGAAAATCATTACTCATTTACAACATTCTGTTAGAATTCTACCTGGATATGTACGGAAATGACTTTAATAACAAGCACATGCGGACCAAAGTACATATTTTCTATAAAGATTACGTCTGACGAAGCAAACAAGTGCTCCTGCGACCCCAAAAGGATGACGCACTACTTTCATAGAAAATTCATCATATACATGAAGAAACATCATGGAAAACTTTGAAGATAAAAAGAGCACTTTGATGATTCTCACGAGAAAAATTCATTTCCCTCTGCTTTTCATATAATCACAGAGCAAATAGAGGAAAAAGAAAGCTATTGTTTATTTCCATTCTTTCCCATTTCCAAGAATAATTTTTGTTGGAACAATAAATAGTCAACGTTTTCAAACAATAATTACATTAGTTTTTCCTTCTCAATTCAATTTCCATGACAGACGATAGCAACGAGGTTGACTTACCGCTCAAGGCCATCGCACGCCGTGGAGCTATTTCATCGACGACATCGTTCGAATCCACTGATGGAATGTTCAATATAGAAAAAGATTCTCGGCTGGTGAAATTGTTCAACAAAGCAGTTGAAAACAATCTGCTTTTCACGTACGGATCTCGAAAGGAAAAGCACGTTTTTATTCTTTGTTGTTTTCTAGTCATCTCGACGAAAATGAACGAATACAAGTCTTCAATGTCATGTCTTGTCGATCGTATTCACCTGATGAGATTATTATTGATCAAAATAACGAACAGGAATACTTTTATATTATCGAAGAAGGAGAAGTCGATGTAAATAGATCATTATTTATTATAATTAACTGAATTTATATTGGAGAAATAGGTTTATGCTGATGATCAATTGATAGCAAGTTTTGGCGAATATTCGTCTTTCGGTGAATTAGCTTTGATCCAAAATACATCACGATTCATGACAATCAAAGCGAAAACGAATGTCAAACTGTGGACATTGCTTGGAGAAACTTATCGAAAGATTCTGATGGATATAACAATGAACAAACGAAAAGTGTATGACGAATTTCTCATCCGAGTTCCTATCTTACGTAAGGTTTCACACTCTCATGTTTTTATTTGAGACATACGAATCTATTTCAGAAACACTGAACGAAGTCGAACGTTTCATAATAGCTGATTCGCTTGAATCAGTGCAATACGAAGATGGTGATATTGTCGTCAAACAAGGTGAACTAGGTGATGATTTCTTTCTTATCGTTGAAGTGAGTATACTTCTGTATTGCTAACTAAATAACATCTAGTTCTCTTTCACATTCCAATTAAAAAGGGCAACTGTATTGTTTATCAAAAGGCATGCGAATACTCCGAAGGAGTGGAAATCGATACACTTGGTCCAGGTGATTATTTTGGCGAAATCGCACTTTTATGCAATCGAGCACGTGTTGCGACTCTTGTTGCTCAAGGTGTTTTGAGATGTGTGAAGATCAATCGCGAACGGTTTGAACGTGTTCTCGGTCCGATCCGAGAAATTCTTCAACGAAATATTTCACGATATAATTCAATCATATCCCTTGAGCAATTACACATAATCATCGACAAGGAAAAGGAAGACTGTTAATGATGTAAAACCTAAGCGGATAACTTTAAGTTTATGTCAATGTACAATATCCTCAAATAACATATAAAACATTGCTTTTGTATTCAAAGAGATTTAACATGCGTCCCAACTTCGGTTTGCGTTTCAAATTTAATCAAAGACCTTTTCTTTTTCTTCTCCTCCGTTTCTCTTTCTTTCTTTCTTTCGTTCGTTCGACATGTAACACCTGTACGAAATTCGAGACATGATCGATGTTGTGACCAGAGAAGAAAAAATGATCGTAATTGAATCACTCACTTATTCATACTTCACATTCCATAAGTGTTAGAAAATAAACTAATAAATCACATTTACTTTATGATTATGCATCTATTTATCCTCTTGTTAATACCATTCACTCATCAAATAGAAAGTATCGAACAGGAACTCAGCTGGAACATCACGTAATCTATTCTGAACTTTCAATTGCATCTTGTTCTTATCTTGTCTTGTTTTCGTTTAGAAATACCACCATCGAAAATGATCTTGAACTAACAACAGGCTTCTTTGATAATATCAATGCAACAAATGAGACAGCTGTAGAACTCGTTCCTGATGTCGATATCTCCGGACCAGTTGAACGTGTTCTACGAGCAGTCTTTCGCGCATATGAACCTTATTGTTGGCGTCGATCGTACGGTCGCGGTGTTGGTCGTCCGCTACACGCTTGTCCTGATCATGCTTCGGAACAGGATGGTCTTCTCTGTTATCCAACGTGCCGGGATGGTTACAACGGTGTTGGTCCCGTTTGTTGGGAAATATGTGATAACATAACATCGTTCGGTTTTGCTTGTATGGACATTCGTAAATCTGTTCGTTCTTGTCCTTGGTATGATACATGCGGTGTGTTCAAACGCTCATGTTCATCATGTCCAGATAATTATACTAATTTTGGCTGCTTATGTGGACGATTTTATCTCCGTGATAGTTATGGACGAGGTATTGGCACACCAATGATATGTTCAAGCGGATATGAACAAGATGGTGCTTTATGTTATGATCAATGCGATGAAAAATACAATGGCGTCGGTCCTGTTTGTTGGCAACATTGTCCATCAAGTCAGCCATATCCATGTTTCGCTGGTTGTTCAGTAAGCAAACAAGATTGTCAACTTGCGGTTATTAACATGATTCAATCTGTCGTTGGTGCTTCGATTACACTTTTAAATGTTATCGTCGGTGTTCCATTAGTGGATTTGACAACATTCGATATTCTTGCAAATGCAGCCAAAGGTGATTGGCCATTAGTCGCCAAGCACATGGCAAACTTGGCAAAGAAACTAGCCGATAAATTATTACCGGAATTGGCAAAGAAATTTCTCGACTGGTCATTGAGTACACTTTCATCTGCAACGAGAAATGCAAGCATCGCTATTACAGCAACTGCCTTAAAAGATAAACAATCGTTATTGCCTTTTCTCAAACTGTTTCGCTTAGACTCCATTAATTCTGCCTTTAATCACGGGAAATGTGAACTAAGAAACGATTTGGATGACGACAGTTAATTGATTAACTACATATTATTTCATTTATCTCTTGTAAATATAGAGAGTATGACTTTTTCTCATGTGCTCGAGTATTATTATAATAAGAAAAAAAAAGCCATTTCCTCTAATAAATACCAAATCATTTCTCTAATACATTTGTTTGTGACAGTTTTCAATTAAACATCGCCTTTTTTTACAACGGAATAACTAAGAGGTTGGCAGAGATTTTGCTCCTACACGTTCGTCATTTATTAATTAGATCTCCAGGATTTAAGTAAATCTTCTTTGAATATCGTGATCAAACGAATTTCAATTTACTAATGATTCGTATGCTTGTTAATCACGTGGCATTTAAGATTAAGTAAAAATCAATTAAATTTCACAAGTCTGCGCTATTTCAATCGCGAACGCAAGATTATTAACATGTTTATATCGTAGACCTTTTTCCGTAGTGCAAAAATCCCATTTTAGTACGCATAATCATGTTCACAGTTTGAAAAAAACTATTGGTTAACCCTTGCTCCTACTGAGTACATTTCCATTAAAATAGATCTAATCAAAAGTTACTATTTATGTTGACGATATCCAGAGAATTTGCACCAGTATTGATGTTATACAGTGTACTTTGTTGTGAAAGCAACACTCGGGGGGATTAGAATCATACAAACAAACTTCGCATATAAACTCTGCTTGATGGATTAGTATCGAAAAAGGTGTTATTAATGACCTTTACGATTCCATTGAAAACTTGATTAGAAAAATTTACATGATAAGTTTCCTTTTGATACCTATCAATACGTAAGAGAACTATTTAGCTTTTAATCTGATGATAATGTCATTGTACTTTTGTTTTTCTTCGATAACCTTTACGTATATCTACATTATAATAGACTTCTTTTCTTTCTCGATAATTCATGTTTTTGTTGCTTTTCAATCAGCTTAGAAGTTCATTTCGTAGAGGATACAATCAATAATAAGCTAGGCCTAAGACTGATCTTCCGCCATTGCTTGAACTTCATTACATCCAACGAAATTAATCATGTTTGTGATTTAATATTGACAAGTGTTTTCCTTCGTATACACATAAATGAATAAATAATAGTTTTCTAGATTGAAAGATTTATTAAGCATGGTATACTAGTCTTGAGTTAATTATGTATGAGAAGAAATCCGAATCTTTATTCAGATGTCTAATTCGTCATGAAATGCAGTTATTTTTCTATTTGATCAAAACACAATTTTTCTTCATATTTGACAAGAAACCGATGTGGGTTTGATGCGTTTAGACAACTAACAAGGAAGAAAGTGGTTTCTTGGCGAAGGTTTCACAAAAGACGCATTCATAAGCTTGACTTGCTCTTTCAAACAAAATTATTCATCACAAGTACTAATACTCATTAACGATTATGTCAAAAGATTCATTTTCGTAATGTGTCTTGTCAATAGAGTTAAAAGAGAGAAATTATTCTTTCGAAAGTATGAGATGTGATACATTGTCATATGATGAAAGGCGGATAATCGATATAAAAACTTGTTATTGTCAGAAAATGTCCGTATATTTTCCCTCTAATTTCGATCAATTTGTCAATAATCGTTTCTCAGGTGACGTTCGAGAAGAAGACAATCAAATATTCGCATG